TATATATATATATATATATATATATATATATATATATATATATACTTACAAACTGTAAAGGTTCATCCGACTCAGTATTATGCGTAGCCCAAATTAAGCATCCAAAAAATAATAAATTATAAAAAATTGCCGATTGTGGGCACCATCTTCCTTGCAGTCCCCTAAAAAATTATTTTATTTATTAAAATTCTTAAATAATAATTTTAAAAATAATAATCCATTTGCATAAAATAAATAAACTTGAATCATAATTCAAACAAGTGTATTAAAAAATAAATTACCATGTTGTGAGGACAAAATGTATGACAAAGATGATCTGTAATCAAAATACAATTAATAGATAGCAAATATGACTCATTAAATTTCCATACGCCCACTACAAATAAATTGTAATTCAATTTACATGATATCTTGTTTCAAAAATAACTTACGCAATAAAAAATACTTAAGCTCGAATTTCTTTAGTATTTTTTTTAACAACAATTGTCAATTGTCAATAATAATAACATTACCTTCAATGTAGAGTGAGAAATACTCGATAAATTCGGCATGATTTTTATAAAATATATATTTATAATATTCTTGATCTCAGCTTTGTTTTATTCTACAACCAAATGTCAAAGTGGTAATCTACGACTAAAAAATTTACAATGAAAATATTGAGCTCTTATTACCTTACTATTGACTGCAATTGACTGTGTTGGTTTACAACTACATTCACACTTCTTAAAACTTTGTAAAAATAAATTCTTTATTATTTTTCTTATTATTAATTTTATTTAAAAAATTTTGTTGACTTAAAATTCTTAAAGTTTGACATTAAAAATAAAAATTTTATGTCAGAGTAAAATTTAGAAATTTATATTTACTTTTATTGCAAATCTCAAAATGGCCGAGTTCGAATCTTAGTGGCATTTAAATCAGCTGACAATTTTTAAATTTAAATAATAATTAAATGATAAAAAAAAAAACTTAATTTCTTTTAAAAGAAATTTATTTACCTCAATTTTATTAAAATAAATTATTTTTTATAAAAAATTAATTTTTAATTCTTAACAAAAAAAATTAAATAAATTAATTTTTTAATTTAATCAGCTGAAACTAGTGGCACTAGTTTACAGTGCCGTAAAACTGAACTCAGCCTTTTGAAAAAGTATTTTAAAATGGACAGAAATTAACCGACAGCTGTCAAATTATAGAATTATTTTAACAATTCAATTTTTGGAATTAAAACTATGTTTTTTTTTTTTCAATTTAATATTAAGAAATTTATAAAAACTATTAGTGTAATTTTTTATGACACTGAAGTTGACATTAAAAAATTTTTTAGAATTTTATAACTATTAAATTATCATAAAAAAAAAATGAAAATTAAGTTAACCGACTCAACAATTTTTTTTTAATAATTAAATAAGAACAAAAAAAATATTTTTTTAAAATTGCACTTACAGTTTTTCAATAAAAAAAATTTGTTTAATTTTTAAATGTCGGCTAACTTAATTTTCATCATTAAATTCAGCTGTTACCACAATTTTTTTAATATTTTCTTCCATAAATAAATTATGACAAAAAAAAAATAAGTAAAAAAATGAACTTGTGGAATTTTAACAAATTAAAAAAATGCAATTGTTTAAAACAATCTTTTTGTTAAAAAAAATTAAAAGATTTTCAAGTGACTTAAATAACAACTAAAAAGATATTTCTAAAAAATTGCACTTATAAATTTTCAAGTTTTTAACACGTGATATTTTTTTTTTAATCGATAAAAAATTTCTAATAATTTTAAAATGTCAGCTAACTTGATTTTCATAAAAATTACAATTAAAAATTTTTAAAAGCATTTTTTTATAATAATTGATTTGTTACAAAAATAAAAAAATTTCTAAAAAATGACAACTGACAGCTAACTTCAGTTAAATATTAAAAACTACTTTAAAAAACCCCCACCAGATGTCGCGTGTGTTCATCCGGCCAAAATGACAACAAAGATGTCAGTCTACATTATCCCTCCTGTTTCAGTTTCTACGTAAAGTGATGGTGCACAAGCGCTTGTTGGCATGTACCACTGTTTTATATTAATAAATAAATAGTAATAAAATGTACAGAGGATTTTAAGACTAAGTGACAGTTAATAAAACCATATTTGTGTAAATATATAAATGGCTACGGAGGAAAAATGGTATTTCACCAAGGAGCAATTAGCAAACACACCAAGTCGAAAATGTGGGATCGACGCAGATAAAGAATTGAGTTACAGACAGCAAGCTGCTAATTTCATCCAGGATATGGGCCAGAGGCTTGTTGTGTATCCTTTTTAATAACAACAAACTTTAATTATTAATTTAAGACACTAAACTCACCCAATTTTATCATTTTAATGATCAAGTATCTCAGCACCTCTCTTCACTCTTACCCCCGTCAGCCCATTACGCATTAATCACACTCTCAACTTAACATTCACCGTTATTTCATCATAAATTGATAAGTATTAATTTTAAAGATTATTCCAAAGCATCACCTCGATTTTTAATCTCCTTTAGATTATTTATTTTATTTTATTTTATTCATTAATAAACAGCATTGCGACACGTAACTAAGGTCACGCGTAATATCCGCACCTCCATATTGGTTATTGTTTACGTTTAATGTCGTTTTTCCGAAAGCGCACCCTGAAAAATTATTCAACAGTGTCATAAAAAATTATAAAATAATTTTATAATTAATTTTTAAAAATAATTTAATGAGATTTGTGTTATTTTTTTAGTGAAAAATCGGGTCATGCTCTTGGTGTAGTTTGACAGGTGTACCAACAATCTAAAACGAGGAAAAAAATTTTTATCATGCTTTTATTTATTTATTTTAATTTTGTTGTTAATATTTTCCTTAACTGTGATTTTTTATCTCTGGTGAATTTACAGTACTCAGTTATGTATAAATACAGCGATAGTTTATATGCATAGGTTCTATGTGTTTCACTCACTGTCGCAATTTCATAGAAATTCAATTGCATCCGCTGCACTTTTTTTGGCAGCTAAGGTTGAAGAACAACCAAGGAAGTTGGAACATGTTATTAAAGTTGCGCATATGTGCTTACACAGGGATAGTAGTCCTCTTGATGTTAGATCTGAGGTATATTTTTTAATTATTTTTTTATTAAATAATGACCTTTGTTAATTTGCATTGTATTTTCTTAACTATTGAAGTTTTTAAAGATATAAGCTCATCATGATGTTATACTCATCGAGAGCTTTCATTTGAGTGCCCACATGCATTTTTAATATATTTTTCATATATACATATATATATATATATATATAATATATATAAATATATAAAATATATGAAAAATTGATGTGGGTACTCAAATGAAAGGTCTTGATGAGTGTGATGTCGGGATGAGCTTATATCTTTAAAAACGTCAATAGTTCACAGGATATTTGTTAAAATGCCCTGTACTTTCTTAATTATTGACATTTTTAAAGATATAAGCTCATCCTGATGTCACGCTCATTAAGAGCTTTCATTTGAGTACCCACATGCATTTTTGATATATTTTTCATATATATACATATATATAAATATATAAAATATATGAAAAATTGATGTGGGTACTCAAATGAAAGGTCTAGATGAGAGTAACATCAAGATGAGCTTATATCTTTAAAAATGTCAATATTTCACAAGATAAAAGGTCATTACTTAATTATGTATCTTATTTCTTATAAAATTACACTTTACACTCTTAAATATAGATATTTTTGAAGATATAAGCTCGTCCTAAGGTTACTCTCATCAAGACCTTTCATTTGAATACCCATATGTATTTTTTATATATTTTTCATATATATATATATATAAATATATGAAAAATTGATGTGGATACTCAAATGAAAGGTCTTGATGAGTGTAACATCAAGATTAGCTTATATCTTTAAAAATATCAATATTTCACAAGATACAAGACAATTTCTTAATATTAATATTAAAAATGATTTTTTATAGGCATATCAAAGTGAAGCACATGATTTAGTATTCAATGAAAATGTTTTACTTCAAACACTGGGTTTTGATGTTGCCATTGATCATCCTCACACTCATGTTGTAAGATGTTGTCATTTAGTGAAAGGTAAATTAAAACACTACTTATAAAAATAATTAATCTTTCTTATAATTAAAAGAAACAAATAATTATTTTATTATTATTATAGATAAACTTCAGAGCTTAACTTAAAGATAAAAAAATTAATGATTGTTTGTACTTACAGCGAGCAAGGACTTAGCCCAGACTTCATACTTCATGGCATCGAACAGGTTGATAGATTATCAAAATTATACTTCCTTCTATCTTCTAATTTCAATTTACACGGCTTTTATATTCCCAGTTATTTTTCCAACGTTATTAAAGTCTAATTTCTCCAAGTTTAATTTTAAAATCAAGAAAAATAAAAAAAAAAATGATCTAATTCCTTTTGGATGAAATTTATAAATAGACCAATGACTTTTTCTATAAAAATGAATTTAAAAAAAGTTTAAAATTTCTTTTAAACTCGATATTAATTTCATTAAACTTCAATAGCTTGCATCTCACCACGATGTGTCTTCAGTACAAGCCAACTGTCGTCGCTTGCTTCTGCATTCATTTAGCGTGTAAATGGTCTAATTGGGAGGTAAATATTTTTTAAATAATTAATTTCGTTAAATTCCACTGTACTTTCTTAAATATTGACATTTTTAAAGATATAAGCTCATTTCGATGTTACACTCATCAAGAGCTTTCATTTGAGTACCCACATGACATTTTCTATATATTTTTCATAAATACATATATATAAATATATAAAATATATGAAAAATTGATGTGGGTACTCAAATGAAAGCTCTCGACGAGTATAACATCATGATGAGCAGCTTATATCTCTCAAAATCTCAATATTTCTCAAGATCATTTCTAATAAAAATTCCTTTCAACAGATTCCTCAAAGTAACGAAGGAAAAAGTTGGTTCTGGTACGTGGACAGAAGCGTAACCTCCGAACTGCTGGCTCAACTAACCGCAGAATTCTTGCACATCTTCGACAAATGTCCTTCGAGACTAAAAAAGAAGATAATGAGCATCTCGGAGCGTCAGAGCCCAAGTATGCACCACCCAAGCTTACCCAACTCACCATTCGACGTGGAACCGCGGCGAGTAGCCGCGGTCGATGACGGAGGTCCATCGTTCCAGTCAGCGCGTCCTTACCCCGCCGAGGAGGACAAGAAGAAGCCTCCAAGCCAGCCTTCAACCCGGCCTCCAACAGACTACCGCGAGTACCGCGACAAGAAAGAACGCGAGCGTCTGGAGCGTGAGAAAATGAGTCAGAACTCCGGAAGTTTGCCTCAGGACTCCAAGCACCACCACTCCCACCACCACAAGCCGTCCGTGCCCGGTCCTTTGTTAAACACCCCCTCTGCTTCATCAACCTTAACAATGTCTGGAGCATCTGGGACTCCCATATCAAAGCACATGGTGGTTCCTCAAAAAGGGGCAGCAGCTGCCCATCACAATCATCATCATCACCACCATCACAACCGCCCGGATTTAAAGCTCCAGCAGAAGCATTCCAACTCGACCGGCCCCCGGGACCCCAACCGCGACAGTTCAAGACAGCGGATCTCCCGGGACTACCAACACCAACAGCAACAACAACAACAACAACAACAACAACCTCCTAATTATTCTCAACATCAACTTTCTGCAAATAATCACATCGCTGCCCCTAAAGATAGCAATTCTGCCCCTGATATAATCGACCCAGTCATCCCGGAGATCAGCCATGTTGACAAACCCAGCAATAATAATCACCACTCGGGTTCAACTCGGCCAGTTCCGTTCGACAAGCGTAGCTACGACCCGCGGAATAAATTGATTGACCATCGGAAGGAGGAGCAGAAAAATTCCCAGTATCCTAACCCGCCAAAGTATCCCGAGCATATTCGCTCAAATGACCGGCTTAGTAGGAAGCTGCCCGAATTGGAACAACGCAGCGAGGAGGTCAGGAAGCTCATTGAGAAGCCGCTGCCCATTCCTAAACCTCGGGCGGAGATTCAGAAGGAAGAGTACATTGCTAATATGCTTAAGCAGTCGCATAATCCTAATAAATATAATCAAGATAGCAAATTAATTCATAATTCTAATAGAATTTTTCCACATGATTTATCCAAGAGTCAGAATCTTATTAAGTCTCATCATCAGGGGCAGCAGCTGATGCATCAGGGGCAGCAGCATCAGATGTCTCAGATTTTCAAAGACAAAAATGGAATTCAGAATCCTAATTTAGGAATTATTGATGAGAAAATTGATAAAAGGAAGCATGAAGAACTCACTCAAGTACCTATAATTAAACATAAATCATTATTTAGTCCAGATAAAATTACACCTGATATAAATCAGCGTAAAAGTAGACAAAAAACGCCACCTGTCTTAATTAAATCAATAAAACAGGAGGAAGATTTAAATACTCAATTGTTTTCAATGTCTCCGGAATTGTCCTTGAATTTGAATATTAAAAAAGAAAATCAAGAACAAAAGATTAAGTCTGAAGATAATTTAGATAAAAAACGGCTGCCCATTTTGAGCAGCGGGCAGCCTGATTCAAAAGAGGGTCTTAAATTACCGACATTTGAAACAGAGCTTATGTTTAACGGGCTGGACATAAAGCCGTTTAAAACAGAGACCGACTTGAGCCCTATGAAGTCTGCCCAGGGAATCAGCGCGCTGCTCCAAGAGCCTTTAGCTCCTATGCCTTCGTTATTGCAAACTCTATCCTCTGACGAGGGGATTTTCTCTCAAAGCGGGCCCCTAGAGTCCAGTCAGAATTTACAAGAACTTCCTGCGGTTACTGCAAGTGTCCCTACTGGGCAGAAACCTCTGGGCAGCACTCAGCCAAATATTAGTCAAGTTTCTGAGGAGCCTTTTGTGTCTACAGTCGACATCAGCGCGTTCGCGGCAGCCCCGGTTATTTCTTCAGTGCCAATTGTGCAGCCTGCTGCCCAGGAAGCTGCAGTTAAGAAGCAGGAGCATCATAAGAGCGAGAAGAAGAAGAAGAAGGAGAAGCACAAGCATAAGGATAAAGATAAGGATAAGAGTAAAGACAAACACAAGCATAAACATAAAGACAAAGACAAGCATCGGGATAAGGACAAAGATAAGGAGGGGAAGGACAAAAAGGATGGGGCAGAAAAGAGGGACAAGCATGAGGAGGCTGTCACTGCTGCCCCTATCAAAATTACTATTCCTAAGGACAAGCTTAACCTTGTCGACACGCCGGATAGTAAAAAGAAGAGCCCGAGTGCTGGGATTAAGATTAAGATTCCCAAGGAGAGGCTCAAGAATAAAGAGCTGCCCACTGCTGGCCATCAAGGACCGCTCAAGATCAAGATTAGGACTAATACTGCGGCTTCTGGGCAGCCCGAGGGGTACAATGTTGACAATCGCAAGCGCGAAAGGGAAGATAGTGGTGGCCAGCCTCCGGCTAAAAAGTTCCAGCATGTACAGGGTGGGCAGACTGGCCAGACAAATGCTGGGCAGACTGGGCAGCCGAATCAGGGGCAGCGAGGCTCTGATCGCCAGAACGGACGCCATTATACGAGCAATAATAAGGTACGTGGAGACGGCAATCGCATTGGTCAACAACTGGGTCGTTATCCACACTCGCGTTTGAGTAATGAGCATGGTTTTAGTAAATTTGTTGAGCAGCCTATCTATCAAAATCCATATTTTTTTACTAATTTTCCCCCGCCGATTTTCAACGGACAGTACTTCGATCCTAATTTTTATTTCCAGTATTCCCAGTTTAATCTCTATTCTCAGGGTAATTTTTCTGATAACTTTGAACCTCTGGGGATTGACACCTCCGTGCCACCACCGAATTTTGGGGATAAGGGACTTTTACCACCGCTGCCTGACCATCCTCCGGAACCTTTGCCTCCTCCACCTCCTCCAGAGAACCCGGAATAAATTTTTTTGATAGATCTTTTGTATATAATTCTTTAGTGGTTGATTTTTGAATGATTTTATTAGCTGTTTTTTTTGGGGGGGAAAGTTATTTATCAGAGTATTATATTAAATCAAATTTTTTAAAAAATATTAGTGTTAAATTGATATTGAAATCTGAGAGTTTAAAAGTATTTTTTAATAATTGTAATTTTTAATATGATTTCAATGTCAAAAAAATTATTATTGAAATGTTATTTTAGATCTTGCCAATTTTAAGCATGGTTTTTATTTATTGCATTATTTGTATTTGTTAAAATTTTTTTTTCGTTTTATTTATTTAGTTTTTAAATGGCTGTTAGTATTTTAGAACACAGTAATTACAAAAAAAATTTTTTTTAAGTAAAAAATTTTACTGTTTTTCTTTATGTAAGGAATTTTACTGTTTTTTTTGTTTTTTATTAAAAAGTTTTTACTGTGTTTTAAAATGTAAAAAAAAATCAAAAAATAAAAAAAAATAGACAAAATAATAACTAAGGTCTTAAAAAATTTAAATAATAATATTTGTATGATAAAAAAAATATAAATGAGTTATTATGTTTATAAAAAATATTAAAAAAATCAAAGAATGAGTGTGAATGTAAAAATTTTATTCAAATAATCAAAAGTTTATATTTAAATAAAATAAAAAATCATAATAATTTGTATTTTGATTTTTGTAAAATAAAATAAATTAAAACGTGTCCTGTTAATAAAATTAAATTGTTTTTTTAAAATTGTACATACGACACGTTTTAATAATTTATTTTTTAAACTTAAAAGTTTATAAATAAAAAATAAAATATTTAATGAATATACCTTAGTATTTATTTTGTCTACTTTTTGTCACATCATCTTCATTTAATTCACATTCATTGACTAACATAATGATTTAATAAAAAAAAATTGTTAAAATTGTTGCATGAATTTTTTTTTTAAATAAAAAAAATTTTTATACTTTAATGTTGCAGGAAAAACATTCTACTAAAGACACGAAGACTTCCACCAGTAAATTAATATCGCAACATCAAACGTAATGATGAAAAATCAAGATTTAATTATTGAGTTTAAAAATTGCGATTAATTAATTAGGATATATTTTTTAAAAAATTCTAAAATATATTAATACTGTTAATAATTGTAAGAGTGATTTTGAATGAATGCGATTGTGTGTAATTAGCAAAGTTCAACTTTAATAATTAATTTATATAATTAGTAATAATTATATGTTATTGCAATGTTAGTTTGCGACAAAAATATTTAACAAAAAAAAAAATTATAAAATTCATTTAATAAATTACACGTGTAATTTTATTAAAAAAAAATTAGAAGAAATAATAGAAGTAAGAAAATGTTAATAATTATTATTTAAATACTTAAATAAGTAGATTAAGAAATTTATTTTTATTGTTTTAAATAATTACTTGAAAAACTCGAAAAAAAAGTTTATTAAAATCATTGAAAAAAATTTATCTTTTTTTTAAATTAAACTCTTTAGAATAAGTAGCAAAAAAATAATTCAGAGGCTTAAAATAGTAGATTACATACCTAGGCCAGTAAAATAAGAAAAGTCTCAGACCACATGTAATTGTTGGCCGAGGCGAAGCCGAGGTTGACAAACATGTGGTCTAAGGCTTTACTTTTTACTGGCCAAGGTGTGTATACTATTTTTCTGCTCGACGTAGCCGGAATGTGGCAACTTTGTTTAGCGCAGCGGCCAGAAAGTTGCCACTTTCCGGCCGGAGGGCAGAAAAAATATTTTCAGTTAAATTTATGTAACAAGTAATTTTTTTTTTTATTTTTTTTTAAATAAAACTGGATGTAAAAAAATGACTTGATTAATTTAATTTAAGTTGAACAATTATTATTTATTTATTCATTTTTTTTACATTATAAATAATTTAGGGATTCTTTTTTTAATTTAAAAAAGAAATAAATAATTCTCATAATAATTTATGATAAATTTACTCATACTTAATTTTTAATATAAGAGTTAACATTATAATAATTAATTAAGGGTAATTGAATGTATATATATTTTATATGCCAAAAAAATATATGAATAAATTGTAATTCTATCAATTTGTTTTTTATTATTATTATTTTTACTCACGTGTTTGTTATTTGTGTGTAAAGCTCTTCAAATAGATGAAAAATAATAATTAAATAAATTTTTTTGGAGTTTAAGGAGTAACACACTAATTAAAATAACAGCCGACATTTTTTTAAACGTTAGTTACAATTTTTAAAATAGTATGGAGTTAAGTTAGCTAACAGCTGTCAAATTTTGTTAACTCTGAAGTCAGTTGTGAACTGATGACAAAATGAAAATTAATTTAGCAGATATTTAATAATTTTTCTAATAAATAAATTACTAAATAAAAAAATTGACATTAAGAAAATTTAATAAATTAAAAATGCAATTTTTTAGAACAAATTTTTTTGTTAAAGAAAATTTAAAAAATTTCGAGTGACTGCTAATTATTGTGAACTGTCAGTTTTTTAATTTTTACAAGTTAACTTTAATTAAAATTTTTTTTTATTGTCACTTGCAATTTTTTAATAATTTTATTATTAAAAAATTTTTAATGTCATTTAACTAAAGTGTTAAATTTTTTATAATAATTCTACCTACAATTAAAAAAAAATATCTCTAATAATTTTCACTTGTGAATTTTTCATAAGTTTGGAGGTTAAGTTTGATAGATTATTATCATAATATAGACAAACCACGTGGATTATAAAATTAGAAGCAAACAAAAAAATATTTTTATCTAAAGTAGAAAAGAAATTTTTAATATGACAATCTTCATTAAAAATTAGTTAAGTAATTAATTAATTAATCCGAAAAATAGTATTGAATAATAACACTTGTAAATATTTTTAAAGAGTTTTATTCTTGAGAAATGTAAGCAAAACAGATTTAAAATAAATTAAGCAATGCTGCTCGCATTGGAAGCGATACGAGGCCATAAATCAGCACACTCTTTTGCAACAGGACCCGTAATAGCAGATCCTTTCATTTCTCCTTTGTTGTTTACGATGACACCGGCGTTGTCTTCGAAGTAGAGGAAAGTACCATCCTTCCTGCGGAAAGGTTTTCGCTGGCGAATAACTACCGCGGGCATTACTGAAAAATAATATCAATTGTAATGTTAGTTAAAATATTAATTTTAGTTAGAATTTAATTTTTTTTAATGGCTCTAAGACAGCTGATCTTTAGATAATTTATCCCTAAATGCTAAATAAAAAATCTTATCAACTGTCTGAAATTTAGAAGTCACTTCATTAATTTTGACAATTAAACTTTATAGAAAATAATAAATTTATAACTTACCCTTCTTACGAAGCTCCGGTTTTCCTTTCTTTACAGTAGCGACGATCATGTCACCAGACCCTGCGGCTGGGAGACGATTCAATCGTCCTTTAATTCCCTGGACAGCGATGACATAGAGATTTTTGGCTCCTATAAATAAATAATTTATTATTTAAGTAACTTGTTTAAATTTCAAAAAAAAAAGTTAGTTTAAATATTAAAATATGTTTGATATTCTCAGTGACATGTTAAAGATTGGAAATCTTTTAAATTAATTACTTACCAGTATTGTCCGCACAGTTAATAACTGCTCCAACTGGGAGACCAAGAGATATCCTAAACTTCGCTCCCGCAGAACCTCCACGACCTGTAATTAATTACAATAATTAATTAATCTTTGTTTATTTAAACTTAACCTTATAATTATTATTATTATTATTATCAACACGTTTTCGCGGATTCAAATTTTTTGACTTTAAATTATTGTCAAAATTTTATAAAAAAAAAGATTATTTAAATTAATTATTAATTTTTTTTTTTAAGAAAAAAAAATTGATTTATCCCACTAACAGTTCACACATCAAAACTTATAATCCAATTAAAAAAATAACTAAACAATATACGTGAAAAATTTTAGTTAAAAAATAAAACAGAGTAATTAAATTTTGAATATTTCAATTTTTATTGTTTATGATTTGTTTAAAAATACTCGATTCAACGCGATTTATTTTTTACTCAAATATTACACACCTCGTTTCGACATCTTGGATAGTAAAAGAAAGAATCAGGTTAGTTTTCTGATGACCAGAATTTACTCGTGTGTGTTTATGCATGTGCACCCGGGAAAACTACATTCACTAAATGGCGGCTAGAGTTCCGCCATTGTTGTTTCTTCTTTGGAACTCAAGATGGCGCTAGTGACGGTTTCTTGTTCAGTTGATTTGTGAGTGAAAAATATATGTTTCAAATGTTTTTCTAAACGGTTTCTTTTCGGAATTATTATATTAATTGTTAATTTATTTAATTAATAATTGATTATTTAATTATTTGTTTTATTATAATAGTTATTTTACAATTAAATTAGTGTTTATCTTTGAGTGAAAGACTTTGTTGGTTCATGACACTGAAGTTGACAGGTAAGAAACGTTTTTTATAATTTTATAATAATAAAATTTATTTAAGAAAAAAAATTCAAGTAAAAATTAGAATGAAAATTAATTTATTAAATTAATTAATAATTTTAAGAATTTTTTTTTAACAATTATTGCAAAAAAAAAATGACAAGTAGAAATTATAAAAATTAAAAAATGCTATTTTTAAAAAATAATTTTTTGGAACAAATTTATTTATTAAAAAAAAATAAAAAATGGTCAACAGCTAATTTTAATGTCATAAAATTATAAAATACATTTTTTCATTGTAATTGATGTGATATTTAAATTACCAGGTACTTGACAATTTCATATTTTATTTTTTTTTTAAATAAACTGTCTGAAAAAATATTTTTAAAAAATTTTCTTACTCTAATTTATTAAAAAAAAAAAAATAATTATTAAATTTTAAATTAAATAGAAGAAATATTTTAAAAAAATTAAATAAATCAATATTAAATTTAAAATGAAATAAAAAATCAATTAGGTACTTTTATTAACATCAACATGTTGCATAATAGAGACAGTAGGTTCAAACCCAGAAGCATCAACAATCATTTGATTAATACCAATCCAAATAGACATCCTCCTGGCGTTGTCATACGCACAATTCTTTTCCTTTCCTTCATGTAAGTTACAAGTATTCTTAATAACTTCATTCTTATCAAACCAGCCCAAGTTCTCCAGGATAGCAATTTCCTTGCGGTCGCCAATTAGTTCGGTCAAAATAACTTTAGCTTTCGCAGAAGCTACATAGATCCCAGTAACATGTCTTAGATCATCCACAATAGCTGGTATCATTGCATTGAACGGGGTAGTGCCCTTATCCCAAGGGATTCCGTGGTGCTTAGAATGCGCTTCGTAGGTCAGTTGGTACTCAGAGGGCAATCTCGACCAGTCGTAGGGAGGCTTGAAGGAATAATGCGAAGTAATTGTGTTATTATTTTTATCTGGAGCGATAGACCACAATCCAAATTCTTTCAGTGCGAAGGTTTCGTTCGGTAGATCGTACGCAATGAAATCAATTACAACTATCATATTTATTATCACCCTTTAAATAATTATAATACTCTTCTAATATAATTAGAAATAAAAAATTAATTTATTTGCTGCTAATATAACTTATAAAAAAAATTTCTTGTCTTTTTGTAAGAAAAATTCATCAAATCAATCTTTATATTTCTTAAATTTGGTAATCTGTAGATACATAATTAAAAAATGACCTTGTATCTCGTGAACTCTTGACATTTTTAAAGATATAAGCTCATTTTGATGTTAGATTCATCGAGACCTTTCATTTGAGTACCCACATCAATTTTTCATATATTTCATATATTTATATATATTACATACATATATGTATATATGAAAAATATATCAAAAATGCATGTGGGTACTCAAACGAAAGCTCTTGATAAGTGTATCATTAGAATGAGCTTATATCTTTGAAAATGTCAATATTTAAGAAAGTACAATGCAATTTAATAAATATCTTGTGAACTATTGACTTTTTTAAAGATATGAGCTCACTGTGACATTGCATTCCTCAAGACCTTTCATTTAAATACCCACATCAATTTTTTATATATAATTATATATTTATATATATTATATATATGTACATATGAAAAATATATCAAAAATGCATGTGGGTACTCAAATGAAAGCTCTTGATGTATATAACATCAGGATGAGCTTATATCTTTAAAAACATCAATATTTAAGAAAGTACAGTACAATTTAACAAAAGCCAATATTTAATAAAGCAAAATTTTATTTATTTGACTCCAAAATTGCTGTTTACCATTAATCTTATGGTTTAATATTTTCATATGTTAGTACCATTAATTATAAATTTTTCAAATTGTTTTGCAAAAACACTCTATTAAATGTATACTTGCAAGCATTTATTGTTGATGGTCCTAAAGGAGCTTAGAACTCCAGGATCAAATAAAATTTTTGATCTTTTTATCTAGATTAAATTATTAGAGTTATAAAAATTAATTAAAGTTTCTCTCAAAGGTGTGTTATTATTCAATAATTTCTATTAAATAAATTTAAAACAAATATTTTTAAATTAATAAAATGCTAAAATATTCAATATACCAGCTGAGCATATTTTTACCGTTAACAACCACGCAGTTGCTGTCTGGAGTGTCATGATATTCACAAGCATTGCTTTTCGGATAAATTTCAATGTAACCCAACTCAGACAAGCTCGTAATTTTAGTCAAAGATAAATTAACATTACATAGACTCAAAATAAAATTTTTAATGCTTTCATCTCTGACAAAAACGCAGGTGGTAACTTTTAAATAATCATTGACGATTGCTATCATTTCTTCTTGATCAATATTACCAGCCGACCAGGGAATATTTACGAGTGTATCTTCAGAGTACTTATCTGGTGGTTCTTGTGCCACTGGCAGGACAATATTGTGCTCGAGGAGTGAAATTTGTCGATTGAACGGGTTTAGTTCATAAATAGCGTACTCTTTAGCAGCAAAATTATTTGATGACTTATATAGATGAAAATCAATACCGAGATTCATTTTGGTTTATAAATTTAGCTTTATTATTTTATTTAGACAATTATTTTCTTAGTTATAAATCAGTACCATAGTATGCTGAAATTAAAATAATAATTAATTTATAATTAAAAGTTAATTAATAATTTATTTAAATAATTAAATGTCATACCTCATTAATTTTATTTCCGGCATGCCACTATCAGCACCTTTTCTAAATCCTGTTAAAATTAAAATAATTAAAACATTACTAAAAAATGTTAAAATTTTTAAAATATAACTATTAAAATTACTAACCTAAGTACAAAACTGTCGGTATGAAACCCCAGTGAAAAATAGTCTTTGAAATTTCCAACACTGTTGCGATTTTTTGTTTCGTTCTTGGTGTCATTGCCATCGTGTTTTTTTAATTAATTATCAAAGCTTCAAAAAACAAATTTATATTTGTTTTATAAACGTGCTCCAAGAAAGTAATTATGGATCGTTAGTTATTATTATAATTATTTCACCGCGTGAATGTCGTCACAAATTTTACAATTTTCTAGAAAAATCTCGCCCTCTAGTGAGAAAAATAATTTTAAATTTTAGTTGCAATTTTTGCCACCGGGGCGCTAGTGTAGTTTTCTGACAAACGTCAGATCTAACCTATTTAAAAGAACAGTCTGTTTACATCAGCTGTTATCAAACGTTTCTAAACGTTTGTTAACATTTATAATAAAATTTATAAACAAAGTTTGTTAAATAAAATACTTTTAAAATGTCGTATATGTTATCGCATTTACACAATGGCTGGCAAGTGGATCAAGCTATTTTATCTGAAGAAGATCGAGTTGTTGTAAGTACATTTTACGATTTGTTTATAATTATTTTATAAAAATAAAATTAACAGACATTTGATAATTTTTAAGATTTTTTTTTATTTAAAAATAAATAAGAAAAATTTTTAATGTCAAAAATTTTTAATGTCACCTGATTTTAGTGTCATAATTTTTTTTAATGTTTATTTGACTCTAAAAATTTTTTTATTGTTTTATAACAATTAAATTATTGTTAAAAAAAATTTAACAAAAAAATTCCTCTTGTAAAAATTAAAAAAAAATTAATATTATTACTGATCAGCTGACATTTGATAATTTTTTTGATTTTTAAGTATGAATAAAAAAAAATATTTAAAAAAAATTGACACTTGTAAATAATGATAATTAATATTAATAATTTTTTTGTAATAAATTTGATATAAATAATTTAAAAAAATTAACAGCTGTCAACTACATAATAAAATTATTTTTTTTCTACAGGTTATTAGATTTGGTCATGATTGGGACCCAATGTGTATGAAAATGGACGAAGTTCTCTACAACATAGCAGAGAAAGTAAAAAACTTTGCAGTAATTTATTTAGTAGACATCACCGAGGTCCCAGACTTCAACAAAATGTACGAATTGTACGACCCGTGTACAGTAATGTTCTTTTTCCGCAACAAGCATATCATGATTGATCTGGGAACTGGTAACAACAACAAAATAAACTGGACCTTGGAGGACAAGCAAGAGATGATTGATATAATTGAAACTGTTTATAGAGGAGCGAGGAAAGGTCGCGGTTTAGTTGTATCACCTAAAGATTATTCTACAAAATATCGCTATTAATATTTACTATTTATTGCTATTTTTAAGTTAATTAATTTTATACAATGTACATACGTTAAGTATCATCTATAGAAAATTCTATCCCCACTCTAAAATTCAAGCGCATTAATAACAAAACAGTTGAACATAACCAAAAGATTGATTTTTTACCGTCTCTGTAAACACAATTAAATTAATTAGTAAATAAACTGTTAATATAAATGAAACTATCATCAAGTTTACCAATATTTAGTTTGTTATTAGTCAAGAATTATTTTAATCCAATCCTAGCTCAGCGAACAATGACTACCTTAGCTGGAGTTTATTCTGTAGCTTATGTTACGGTTCCTGATATTGATGTTGCTAAAAAACTCGCTCAGTAAGTAAACAAAATATTCTATACTCCAAAAATTCTATCTCTAGATACATAATTAAGAAATGACCTTGTATCTTGTGAACTATCGACATTTTTAAAGATATAAGCTCATCCTGATGTTACTCTCATCAAGACCTTTCATTTGAGTACCCACATCAATTTTTCATATATTTTATATATTTATATATATATATGTATATATGAAAAATATATCAAAAATGCATGTGGGTATTCAAATGAAAGCTCTTGATGAGTGTAACATTAAAATGAGCTTATATCTTCAAAATATATATTATATATATGTATATATGAAAAATATATCAAAAATGCATGTGGGTACTCAAATGAAAGCTCTTGATGAGTGTAACATCCAGATGTGCTTATATTTTAAAAAATGTAAATAGTTAAGAAAGTACAGTGCAATTTAACAAAAGTCATTATTCAATAAAGCAAAATTTTATTTATTGATAGCGGATTGGTCAAAAATAAACTAGCAGCTTGTGTCAATATTATTCCACAGATAACATCGGTTTATGAGTGGAAAGATGAAATTAATGAGGACCAGGAACTTCTTTTGGTAATATAAAGGTTTGATTATTTTTCTTTTTTTCCTAATTTTATTATAAATTTATTTTCAGATGATTAAAACAAGGACTGAAACTATTGGAAACTTAACAAGTTTTGTTAAGTGAGTAAAATCTTTTGATTATAATTAGTCTGTATAATTAAATTTGATAATTACAATTTTTTTATTAAATCAAGGGAATTTTTCAGAGATAATCATCCTTATGAAGTTTGTGAAGTAATATCTCTTCCCGTAAGTTTTATTAATTTTTTTTTTTTTTTTAAATGTTTGTATTTTTATTTTAAATAAAATCAATAAATTATTTTTATTACAGATCAATGATGGGAATGAGCCATATTTAAATTGGATTGGAAGTATTGTTCCATCATCAAAGAAATAAATTTTTAATTTATTAAAAAATAAACTTTAATACTTAATTTATTTTTAATCCTTAAAATTATTTTTAACCCCTAAAATTTTTTTATATAAAAAAAATTGGTTTTAAAAAATTGTTCTAATTTTTAAAAATTTTTTCTGCCATAATTTATTTATAAAAAAATTATTTATTGAATAAACTCCAAAATATTTAAATAATTTTTAGATTTTTTTTTATTAATAATTATAAAAAATAACATAAATAAAACATTCTAAAATTAAATCAAATATTGTTATTTAAAAACAATTCCAACAATTATAATTAATTAGCAATAATTAATTTTAGTTGGTATAATTTATCAGAAAATGGCGGAGGTATATATAGATAACAACTACGCAGTCAAATTAAAAATCAAAACAAACTAATTATTCTTTTTTAAAGTAATTAAAAAATCAACAATTAATTTAACCAAAAATTAATTAAAAAATTAAAATAAATATTTTAAAATTAATTACAATTTGTAGAAAAAATCAATCTTATGTCAATATTTAGTATGGATATTTTTTTGGAGCGTCTTCGACGGCCATGTTTGTTTAGTTTTCAGTCGGGACGAAAAACGCAAGCGTTCATTCCGTATTTATGTCAACAAATTTCAAATAATAAAGTGTTTTAAAAAATATTTTGGAAATAATCACACCGGAAGAAAAGACAATATGGTAATTATTAAAATTATTATATAATAAAACTCTAAAATGTCTGATATAATTATTAATTTACGCGGGAATTTTTTTTATGTTTTATTTTGCTTGCTCGTGTAATATATATCACTGACAAATATATATTTAGTGTCTTTTTCTTATTACTTGCACACGCCACTTATTTTTGTTAAAATTTTATTTAAAAAAATTTTAGAATTTAATTTTTAATTTTTTTTAAAATATTTTTTATTTTTCCTGTCATTAAAAATTATTTATTAATTATTTATCTTTAATTATTAAATTCACAATTGTTTATTTAATTAATTAATTAATTTATTGTAAAAAAAAATAATTAATTGTTAAATAAATAATAGGAATTTTATTAGCCGGTAATATATCGATCCAAATAGTTGTGAGAGTTCTCCAGAGTGGGTCGACCACCCCCGTCATAGAATCGATACCAAGACAAAGATGAGTGGTGTGACGTAGAAGAAAATATTCCTTTAAAAAAAAGAGAAAAAGGCTTTATATTTTTTTATTTTTTTAATTAGGAAGATTTGATGATTTTTTTTTTTTGCTTTCAGATTGATTGACCTTCCTGAAATGTGGCTAAGAAGTGAACATGTTGGAAGACGGCTCCGAGGCCGTATTAATTCTACTGCTTCATTCAGGGCGAAGGTTCCAGGACGGATTCAAGGAGGTGTAAGGAAAGTTCCAGCGGTTAATAATAGCAGTCAGAGGGTTAATACTTCCAGCAGGTGCGCTAGATTGTCAAGGTGGAGAAGGAGATCTCCGAGTTTATTGAAAGAAGTAAATATTTTTTTTTTTTAATTAATTAAATAATTGAAGTAATTTTGATTTATTGAAAAATGACTTTTGTTAAATTGCACTGTACTTTCTTAACTATTGACATTTTTAAAGAAATAAGCTCATCTTAGTGTTACATTCATCAAAAGCTTTCATTTGAGTACCCACATGCATTTTAGATATATTTTTCATATATACATATATGTAATATATATAAATATATAAAATATATGAAAAATTGATGTGGGTATTCAAATGAAAGGTCTCGATGAGTGTAACATCGAGATGAGCTTATATCTTTAAAAATGTCAATAGTTCACAAGATACAAGGTCATTTTTTAATTATGTATCTAATTTGAATTTTAGGTTTGTAAAGAAAATGTGTTGAGCTACAAAAAATCCCCAGTAATTCGCCACGAGAGATTACCTCGCCGTCGAAAGTGCATAAAACGCTCAATGATTATAACACCAATCCAGCGGGCTCCAAAAATCGACAATCCTTCGACATCATCTGCGAGCGTAGTAAATGAAGAAGCATCCTTGAACTTACAACTAGAAAGCTCCAAAAATGTGACCAAGAAAGATCAAGACACTCTATCAAATCGGCTTATAAACGAGTTGCTCCCTACGACAATCGAGGAGAGCGTTGATTTGTCTTGTTTATTGCAGGAAGAAGCAAACTTGGATTTAAATATCGACACCACTTCCCAAGTCTTGTCAGTAGTTGACATATTATCATTGCATTATTCAGCTATCTGCAACAACACCGACAGTACTAATGATTATTACAATTCAATAATGCAAACCTCATTACCACCTCAGTCAAATAACACCAACAACTACATAAATAAGAGTAAGTATTATTTCTTAATTATAACTTATAATTAAGAAATTACCTTGTATCCTGTGAACTATTGACATTTTTAAAGATATAAGCTCATCCCGATGTTACACTGATCGAGACCTTTCATTTGAATACCCACATCAATTTTTCATATATTTTATATATTTATATATATTACATATATGTATATATGAAAAATATATCTAAAATGCATGTGGGTACTCAAATGAAAGCTTTTGATGAGTATAACATCAGAATTTTATTTATTTACAGTTCACAAGTCCCGGCAGCCACATAGTGACTGCAAGGTAGCTAGTTGTGATTATGACGACAACAAAAGCTCTGACGACAATGGTAACAAATTCTACGACGATAAATTGTACGTCAATAATCTCAGCAGTGATGAGATAGTTAGTAATTGCAATGACAATGACGACAATGACAATGAAGACTACGACAGCGAGGTTGTTGCTGGCAGCGACATGACGAACATAGTAACTCAAGAGTCTCAGGATGATTGGCTGCCATTCGACCCTTACGTGTTTATCAAACACTTGCCGCCTCTGACGCCAGCAATGCGAGCTCGCTGTCCAGCTCTGCCTCTGAAGACCCGCAGCTGTCCGGAGTTCAGTCTGGTCCTGGACTTGGACGAGACTCTGGTCCACTGCAGCTTACAGGAGCTCTCAGACGCGGCTTTCAGGTTCCCAGTGGTTTTCCAAGACGTCACTTACACTGTTTTTGTCAGAACTCGTCCTTATTTTAGGGAGTTCCTGGAACATGTCTCGAATTTGTATGAAGTAATTTTATTCACTGCGAGCAAGAGGGTCTATGCTAATAAATTGATGAACTTACTTGACCCCACGAGGAAGTTGATCAAGTACAGACTGTTTAGAGAGCACTGTGTTTGTGTTAATGGTAATTATATCAAAGATTTGTCCATTTTGGGAAGAGATCTGTCAAAGACGGTCATTATTGATAACAGTCCGCAGGCGTTTGGGTATCAATTGGAAAATGGTATTCCTATTGAGAGCTGGTTCGCCGACCGCTCTGATAGCGAGTTGATTAAACTATTACCCTTCTTGGAGAACTTGGTTATTTCTGGGGGAGATGTCAGGCCACATATTAGAAATGAATTTAGATTATTTAGCTTTTTACCTCCGGATTAAGGTTTTTAGGTACTGGAATTATTTTTAAATGTTATACTTGTTTCGCTTTATTGAAATTTTATTATTTTTGTTTTTTAACAGTGATACTTCTTTTCTTAATTAATATTACAATTATTTTTACTATTATCTTGTGAAATATTGACATTTTTAATGATATAAGCTCATCTTGATGTTACGCTCTTTGAGACCTTTCATTTGAGTACCCACATTAATTTTTCATATATTTTATATATTAATATATATGTATATATATGAAAAATATATCAAAAATACATGTGGGTAATCAAATGAAAGCTCTCGATGAGTATAACACCAGGATGAGCTTATATTTTTAATAACGTCAATATTTACAAAAGTACAGCGCTATTATTTAACCAAAACCATTGTTTAGTAATGCAAAATTTTAATTTTTTTAGTTCACATGACTGCAAGATTACTAGTTTTCTATTATTTTTTGCTCGGTACATTTTTAAAAAATTTTTATTTTTATTTTACAAAATTATTAGGTTATTTGTAAATATTTTTTTTTATACAAATTTTTATTTTTTAAAATTTAATTTTTTAATTAAAACTGTAAATACTTTTTTTTATACAAATTTATACACTTCAAAAATAGTATTTATATTTTTTTTTAACCAAAAATTTTTGAAATACAATTGAAACAATTGTAATATTATAAATCATTGTTAATAAAACTAAATATTAATCAAGGAATCACTGTTAAAAAATATAAAAAAAATTGGCTAAAATTATCAAATGTTATTTATTAAAATTTTTACTCTATAAAGAATCAAGTATTGTAGCTACCGTTTAATCCATAATAATAATTACAACTAACAATAATAATAATAATAATAATAATAATAATATAATAAATAAATAGTGAATAGTTAAATACATATCTTAAATAAAAATAGTAAAAAAGTCTTGATTAAAAAATTAAAAAATTTTTTTTATTATCCACACATATAAAAAACTAATTACATGTTTAATAAACTTAGCTCAAATATCAGCACAAAATTTAAAACAAGATAATATTTTTTACTCAGTATTTAAAAAGAATTTTATTTTATTTATCAAATTGTCTTCTTTAGTCTAAAATATTTGTACTTTATTTTTTATCTTAATTAAAAATAATTATTAATTTTTTGAAAATAGTTTTTGAGGTCAGTGCAATTCAGTAGAAAATAATAATAAGATTTAATTATAAATATAGTAAAAATAATTATAAAAAAGGTTATTGTAATAAATAGTATGATAGGAAATAATTTTCCTTATAAATAAATAAATAAAATAAAAATAAATAAATAAATATTAAATACAATAATAAAAAATTCACATCATTGGAAAAAATAAATAATTATTTTTTTTTTCACTATTTAATTTATCTTCATTATCATCGCTATCATCATTTAAATTATTGCTATCATCATGATTTATTGTTGAGAATAATTTATCGTAATTGATGCTTCCAATGGAACGGAGGGATGTAAAAAAGCTGAAACACGTTATTTTATATAATTAATTTTTATATTATATCTATTTATACAATTTTTAACATTTCATTTTATTTATTGCTATTTTACAAACTACACAAAATTTAAGTACAAGTTTTAAATTTTTTGAAAATAAAATGAAAAAAAAAAATTAAAATAAAATTTACATAACAGAACAAATTAATTTACCCTCAGGATACTTGTCCGTTTGAGAAGCTAAGCACAAAAATTGACAGTGGTCATAATCCGTGTAAATAATATCAATAAATTTTAAACTTGTACTTGTAAGTAAACCCTAATCATCGTTTTTACGTTGAAAATACCTCTGATCGATGCGCTTACACAGATCAACTAGGTCAGGAAAGCTTCGAACTATTTCAGCTAGTTTGTTTGCTGGTAAAGGTGTTGTTATGATTGTAAATAAATGCCCGAATACTAATGCATCGAGTTCCGTAGGTCCCCTGAAATAAAATTGAAAGTTTTTATTTTTAAAATTCTTAAAGAATTAGAAATAAGGGAAAAATTTATAAGGAATTTTTTTGTAGGAAATTTAATTTTTTATAAAAAAGATTTTATGATTTTTTTGTATCTTCAATATTTTAGCCACAGAAATTTTTTTAAACTTTTGAAAAAACAAGATGACACTGGATATCATCTCAGATTATACTCAGTGATATCTGTGGTGAAAAAAAATTTCAGATATTATTTAAAACAATACTTGACTATCCTAATATCTAAAATACATAATAGATGCTAAGTGCGCAGGCGCTAGAAAAAAAATCTCAGAGATATCACTGAGTATAATCCGAGATGATATTCAGTGTCATCTTGTTCTCTCCATGTAGGGATAAATTTTTATAATTTTATTTTTGAGTTTTTAATTCAAATTTTGGACAAAAAATTAGAGATAGAACTTTTTTTTATAGACAATGAAATTTTCTATAAAAAAAAAGCCTCTTGATTTTTTGATATTTTCAATATTTAACCCAAAATTCAAAATTAAAATAAATAATTTTTTTTTTTTTTCATTATGAATAATAATTTAATAAATTTTATAACTTGATTAGCCTTAATGACTCATGCTTATCGGTACCTATTAAATTAATTGTTCATTTACTGTATTTATCTTATTAATGGTATTGATCTAATTTAATATTTAAATTATTTAAATTGATTTAATATAGTATTGAAATTATTCATATTGTCTATCACATTATGCTATTGAAAATGTTGATTATTTTTTTAGAATTTATTATTTTGTTATTGAAATATTCATTATTATTTCTGTACGTATTATTTGTAACTTGGATGGCCGCAAGGGGCTTAAACTCTATGGCCAATAAATAATAATAATAATAATAACTTACTTATTGCCATAAAAATAAGGCTTTCCATCGAGCCTCTCAGACAGTGCAGTACAGCACATTTTGACATCATGATAAATATCATTGATACCTTTGCTATACAGCCCAAGAACCTTGAGCTTCTTAATAACCTGCCTGTGCTTCTGCCAATTCAAAATATGATTTAATGGCCAGGCATAAACATTGCCGTGCCTCGGCTTAGTGACAGTATCAAGAGTAACTGGATCAACCCAGCAAATATACTGCTCAGCATTAGCCAACCCGTTGTTTATCAGCGATATGTAGGCTCTCATGTCAATTTTCTCTTCTGGAGTCAAGTCATTGGTCAAAGTAATCCCCTTGTTGTTGATGAAGGACACAATGTTGTCGAACTCGGAAATTACAGTGCCTCCGCACTGTATGAAAGGCACTTTTCCAGACGGAGACATGTACTCTGCATTTTTACGGGGCTCTACTTGGTAATTTAAATTACACATGTGCAGGTAGGCTTGCACGGCAAGACAATTTGCATTGTCGGGTAATAATATTTGCTCGACTTCCAGGGGTTGATACAGTTTTATTAATTGTGGCCATAATTCTTGAGCTAAAAAATATTTTATTATTTATTTTTTAATAGTAATTTTTATATAATAAATTTTATTATTAAAAATATGATTTTAATTTTATTTAACAAAAAAATTTTTTCCGAAAAATTATTATTAAAAAATAGCATTTTTAATTTATTAAATGTTAATTTTTTTTTTTTATTTTTTTAAGCAATAATTTATTTATTAAAAAAATTCTTTAAATTATTAAATATCTCCTAAATTTATTTTCATTTTTATTTAAAAATTAAATATTTTCTAAAAAACTGCATTTATAATTTTTAAAAATTTTTAAATGTCAATTTTTTTTCTACTATTTTTTTTGCCATAATTTATTTATTAAAAAAAATTCTTTAAATTATTAAACATCTGCTAAATTAATTCTCAATAAATATTATAATATTAAAAACAGTCAAACATAATTAAATTAGGTTATAAATTTTATAAAATAAAACTGATCTAAATAATTAATAATAAATACCTCCAAGTTCAAGTTCTCTAGCTTCAGTCAACAGCGGACTTGGCATTTTAATTATTTACTCTTAAATAATTATTCTTACAATTATAATAATTAATAATTCACAATTTTTATATACTTCCTAACAATTGTCTTTTGGGCCTTGAAATAAAAATGCTTGTCACAAATAAACAAAGCCGCCATCTTTGTTTTAAAACTCAAGTTTAAGCGCGGTTTTTCAAAATTCGAATTTTTTATATTAAAAAATTGTAAATTTAATTATTACTAATAAAAATAATATAAATTATTATTGTTATTGACTATTTGAATTTATTTTAACTTTAATAAAATATTTGTAAAGATTTTTTATTGTCTAGTTTAAAATAAATTTATACTCAAGATTGTTACCAAAATTTTAAGAAAAATAATAAATATTAATATTATCAGAAAAATAAAAAAAACCTAATTTAATTTATGACATTTAAAAATTTTTATAAATGTTTTTATTTAAAAAATTTCAATTAAAAAAAAATTGCACGTATAAAAAAACTTGAAAAATTATAAGTGCAATTTTTTAGAAATATCTTTTTAGCTTTTTAGTTGTAATTTAATTAATAAAAAATTTTTAGACGTCTGCTAACTTCAGTGTCATTTAGAGAAGTTGGTCAGCATGAATTTGCAGTAAAAAAAATAAAAGTAAGGTTGTGTTAGTATATATACCTAAATATCCCAGACGAGTACGAAAAAGACGGGAATATAGGCATGATGCATCTGCATCGTTGGAAAAGCCAAGCAATCTATTAAAACGTAAAGTGAGAAACTTTATGTGTGTGTGTGTTGGTGTGTTGGAGCCAGTGGAACAGTGGAAGAGAACAACACCAGGGGCAACGAGGGGTCCGTTAACCCGTAAAAAAATCTAAGCTAAAAATTAACCTTTTTTTTTAGTCAATATTATTTTTAAAAAAATCTTCGTTGATAAAATCTAAGTAACAAATAAAATAATGTAAAAAGTGGTTATATATTTTAATATCGAATTTAAAAGTATAGTCTTGAGTCTAAGTCTGAGTATAGTGGTGAGGCCGTTAGATTTTTCAGTGGGTACATGTCAAGTGTTGGCTGTGTGAGTGTGTAACTGTGTAGAGTATTAAGAATAAAGTATATTGCTGGCTGGCTTGCTAACTTACTAAAAAATCTTCAGATAACGTGTTTTTTTTTTTTTTATTTTATTTTACTTTTTTAATCCAAGCTAAATATTGGTCATGCTTCAATTACCTTCGGAATATTGTCGACAAAGGTCAGTATTTTTTTGTTTTATTATAAATAATTGTACGCACTATATATATATATACTCTTTTTTAGTTTTTATTTATTGCAATTTCGTCATCAATATCAATCACAAATATTAACGGGGATTTTTTCGTCATCAGTACGAGTATCATCACCAAAGCATGATCTTTGTTCTCTGATTAATTATTTCGGAGAAAATAATTCCTGTTATATCATTAATAAAAAATTAACCTCAAAAATTAATGACATTAAAATGAACAATTTTTCATTTTTTTAGAGCAAAAAAATATTTTTACTAAATTGTATGTATAATTTATAAAACTTTCTACGTGAATTTTTTTTTAATAAAAAAAATTCTTTAATTTTATGACTGAAGTTAGCAGACGTCTAAAAATTTTTTTTTAATTAAATGACAATTAAAAAAATATTTATAAAAAATTGCACTTATAGTTTTTCAAGTTTTTTTATATGTGCAATTTTTTTTTTTTTTATTGAAATTTCTTCAATAAAAAATTTATAAAAATTTTGAAATGTCAAATTTTTTTTTTTTTTGTTCAGAAAATTGCTGTAATTATCAAGAAGAAATAAAATAAAATAATATAAACAATAATTATTATTATAAAAATAATAATAAATTGAGAAAAAGTGAACAAAAGGAGTGAATATAAATAAACATGTCAAGTCACCGAGGAAGCGGAGGCAGCCATCAAGGTGGACCACCTGGACTGAAGCAAATAGACTTGGACCAGATCTGGGGAGACCTGAGAGAAGGAATCGAGCAAGTGTACAACCGCCAGTGCATGTCCAAGCCTCGGTACATAGAGCTGTACACTCATGTCTACAACTACTGCACCAGTGTCCACCAGCAGGTCAGCAAAACGTCTACAAAGGTCAAAAAGGGACACGCTTCTGGTGGTGCTCAGCTCGTTGGACTGGAGCTGTACAAACGCCTGAGAGACTTTCTGAGGAATTATTTGATCAGTTTGCTGAAACATGGCATTGATTTAATGGATGAAGATGTCTTGCAGTTTTACACTCGTCAGTGGGAAGAGTATCAGTTTAGCAGCAAGGTTCTTAATGGAGTCTGTGCGTATTTAAATCGCCACTGGGTTCGCAGGGAGTGTGAGGAAGGCAGGAAAGGAATTTATGAGATTTATCAGCTTGCTCTTGTTACTTGGAGGGATAATTTGTTCAAGCATCTCAATAGACAGGTAATTTTTTATTTATTTTTGTAATTATTAAAGAAATTTTATTAAAAATTTTACATGAAGGGTTTTAATAAGTTTTTTTTTTTAATACTTCTTAAAAATTATGTCTAATTAATTAATTTTATTATTAAAAAAAATTTTGTAAATTTATTCAAGAGTAAATATTGTCAATTTATTATGATTAGTATTTAGGCTGCATTCAAAAATGCTCTCTATCTCTAAATACATAATTAAGAAATTACGTTTTATCTTGTGAAATATTGAGATTTTTACAGATATAAGCTCATCTTGATGTTACATTTATCAATAGCTTTCATTTGAGTACCCAGATGCATTTTTGATATATTTTTCATATATAAATATATATATAATATATGGAAAATATATGAAAAATTGATATGGGTACTTAAATGAAAGGTCTTGATGAGTATAACATCAAGATGAGCTTATATCTTTAAAAATGTCAATAGTTAAGAAAGTACAGAGCATTTTAACAAATATCTTGTGAACTATTGACATTTTTAAAGATATAAGCCCATCTTGATGTTACACTCATCGAGACCTTTCATTTGAGTACTCACATCAATTTTTTCATATATTTATATATATTACATATATTATCTATATGTATATATGAAAAATATATCAAAAGTTCATGTGGGTACTCATATGAAAGCTCTTTATGAGTGTAACATGAAAATGAGCTTATATCTTTAAAAATATATATTACATATATTATCTATATGTATATATGAAAAATATATCAAAAGTTCATGTGGGTACTCATATGAAAGCTCTTTATGAGTGTAACATGAAAATGAGCTTATATCTTTAAAAACGTCAATATTTAAGAAAGTACAGAGCATTTTAATAAATATCTTGTGAACTATTGACATTTTTAAAGATATAAGCCCATCTTGATGTTACACTCATCGAGACCTTTCATTTGAGGACTCACATCAATTTTTTCATATATTTATATATATGTATATATGAAAAATATATCAAAAATGCATGTGGGTACTCAAATGAAAGCTCTTGATGTGTGTAACCCCACAATGAGCTTATATCTTTAAAAATCTCATTATTTAAGAAAGTACAGTGCAATTTAATAAAAACTAATTAAAATTTCCAGGTTACAAATGCAGTATTGAAATTAATCGAGCGAGAACGTAACGGCGAAACAATAAACACACGTTTAGTAAGCGGAGTAATAAACTGTTACGTAGAGCTGGGTCTGAACGAAGAGGATCCATCAGCCAAGGGTCAAAATTTGACAGTATACAAAGATTCATTTGAGAATGTATTTTTGGAGGACACCGAGCGCTTCTATACTAGGGAGAGTGTCGAGTTCTTACGTCAAAATCCGGTAACAGAGTACATGAAGAAAGCGGAGCAGAGACTGTCGGAAGAGCAGAAGCGCGTGCAAGTGTATCTCCATCAGACGACGAACGAGCGGCTGGCTAAAACATGCGAGCGCGTGTTGATAGAAAAACACTTGGACATATTTCACGCAGAGTTCCAGAATTTGCTGGACTCTGACAAAAATCCCGATCTGGGCAGGATGTATTTATTGGTCGCGAGGATACCCAACGGGCTTGGAGAGCTCCGTAATTTATTGGAGTGTCACATTGCCAATCAAGGTCTGGCAGCTATTGACAAGTGCGGTGACACTGCAGCTAATGATCCAAAAATTTATGTTAATACTATTTTAGAAGTACACAAAAAATACAATGCACTTGTTTTAGTCGCGTTTAACAATGACAGCGGATTTGTCGCTGCTCTGGATAAAGCTTGCGGCAGATTTATAAATAGTAATTCAGTGACCAGAGCTGCTAACAGCAGCAGCAAGTCTCCGGAGTTGTTGGCTAAATATTGTGACTTGCTGTTGAAGAAAAGCAGCAAAAATCCAGAAGAAGCTGAGCTTGAGGACACGTTGAACCAGGTCATGGTTGTGTTCAAGTATATTGAAGACAAGGATGTTTTCCAGAAATTCTACAGCAAGATGCTGGCCAAGAGGCTCGTCCAGCACATGTCTGCCAGCGATGATGCTGAAGCTTCTATGATTTCCAAGTTGAAGCAGGCTTGCGGGTTCGAGTACACTTCTAAACTCCAGAGGATGTTTCAGGATATTGGCGTGTCAAAGGATCTCAATGAGGCTTTCAAGAGACATCTTACTAATTCTGCTGAACCGCTGGATATTGATTTTAGCATTCAGGTTCTGTCGTCTGGGTCTTGGCCTTTTCAACAATCTTTCACTTTTTCGCTGCCGACTGAGGTATTATAATTTACAGTATGAATTTTAAGAAGAAATTTTTGTAAACATATATTTCTAGATACATAATTAAGAAATTACCTATTATCTTGTAAACTCTTGACATTTTTAAAGATATAAGCTCATCTTGATGTTATTCTCATCAAGACCTTTCATTTGAGTACCCACATCAATTTTTAATATATTTCATATATTTATGTATATTATATATATGTATATATGAAAAATATATAAAAAAATACATGTGGGTATTCAAATGAAAGCTCTTGATGAGTGTAACATCAGGATGAGCTTATATCTTTAAAAATGTCTATATTTAAGAAATGACCTTGTATCTTGTGAAATATTGATATTTTTAAAGAAATAAGCCCATCTTGATGTTACATTCATCAAGACCTTTCATTTGAGTACCCACATCAATTTTTTATATATTTATATATATATTATATATATGTATATATGAAAAATATATCAAAAATGCATGTGGGTACTCAAATGAAAGGTCTTGATAAGTGTAACATCGGGATGAGCTTATATCTTTAAAAATGTCAATAGTTGAAAATGTACAGGGCATTTCAACAAATATCTTATGAACTATTGACTTTTTTAAAGGTAAAAGCTCATCCTGACTCATTACTAATTTTTATATTTTTTCCAGCTGGAACGCTCGGTCCATAGATTCACAACATTCTACAGCTCCCAACACAGCGGTCGAAAATTAAACTGGCTCTACAACATGTCCAAGGGAGAGCTGCACACTAATTGTTTCAAGAACAGATATACTTTGCAGGCATCAACATTTCAAATGGCGGTATTGTTGCAATACAATGCAGCAACCTCATGGACAATTCAGCAGCTTCACGACGCTACTCAAATTAAAATGGACTTCTTGTTACAAGTCATTCAAATATTGTTAAAAGCTAAGCTACTGACTGCTCCTGTAGATGATGAGGCTGAACTTACTCCATTGTCATCTGTTGAATTATTCACTGGCTACAAAAAGTATGTTTTTAATTTTTTAATTGTAAATAATTTTTCAATGTTAATAATTTTTTTTTTTTTTCAGTAAAAAATTACGAGTTAATATTAACATACCAATGAAGACGGAGCTTAAAATTGAACAGGAAACAACACATAAACACATTGAAGAAGACAGGAAGCTACTGATCCAAGCAGCTATTGTACGGATTATGAAAATGCGGAAAGTATTGAAACATCAACAGCTAGTTGCTGAAGTATTAAATCAATTGAGTTCAAGATTCAAACCGAGAGTACATGTTATTAAAGTAAGTTTTTTTTGGCTAGAAAAAATAACAAAACTAAAGAAGCTGACATCTAAAAATTTACTTTAGATTTTACAAATGACCTTTTATCTTGTAAACTATTGACATTTTTAAAGATATAAGCTCATCCCGATGTTACACTCATTGAGACCTTTCATTTGAATACCCACATCAATTTTTCTTATATTTTATATATTTATATATACTTATATATATATATATATATATATGTATATATGAAAAATATATCAAAAATGCATGTGGGTACTCAAATGAAAGCTCTTAATAAGTACAACATCAGAATGAGCTTATATCTTTAAAATATATATTATATATATTACATAATTAAGAAATGACTTTGTATCTTGTAAAATATTGACATTTTTAAAGATATAAGCTCATCTCGATGTTACATTCGTCAAGACCTTTCATTTGAGTACCCACATGAATTTTTCATATATTTCATATATTTATATATTTCATAAATACCATATATATATATAAAATATATAAAAAATGTCATGTGGATACTCTAATGAAAGGTCTTGATAAGTGTAACATCAGGATGAGCTTACATTTTAAAAATAATCAATATTTAAGAAATTACAGTGCAATTTAACAAAAGTCATTATTCACTAAATATTTTTTTTCTTACAGAAATGTATAGATATTTTGATTGAAAAAGAGTATCTGGAACGGACCGAAGGACAAAAGGACACCTACAGTTATTTGGCATGATTTATTACTACTATTATTGTTTGTTAAAATCAACAACGATTAAAAACAATAACTAAAATAATACTACTGAGGATAATTTTTATTTGACTTGATTTAAGTAAACAGTTATTTTACTAAGATAATTTCACCATCATTCTTGTCATTATCATCATCATCATCGTTATCATCATCACCATCATCACTACCATTATTTTTATTATTATTATTATTATTATTATTATTATTAAAAAGAAAAATTCATAAAAAATAAAAAAATGTTACTACACTAAATTTTTATTTTTTCAATTACAAAATTTACTGTTTTCTTTCAGTTACTTTGAAGTGGTCAAAAAAAAATTATAGCTGTATAAATTTCATTAGTTTAATCAAAAAATTAATAATAATAATGATAAACAATTGTTAAAATAATTCTCTCTTATTTAATTATTAATGGCTAGTTCATTTTTTTTTTTTTTTTACAACAATTAAGTGTAATTATTTTTAATAGACTAATATTATAAAATTAAACAATTAATACTTGCTAATCTTATCTTCATTATATTAAATATCAATTAGAAAATTATTTATGTGCAATGAAATATTTAATTAGACCACAAAATTTTTTCCTTCGCGTAAAATAATTTTTATAAAAAATAATGTACCCAAATAAAAAAAAAAAAAAGAACTTTTATAAAAGTCGTACATTAAAATTTAAATTCCTGATAAATTATTTCAAAATATATTTGATAATCTACTAAAGTAATGCTAAAGTTAATAAATATTGTTTATTTATAAATTACGTATTTATTTATAAAAAAAAAAAAAAAAAAACAAAAAAAAAAAAACCATTATATATAAATAAAAATTAAGTTAGCCGACACTTAAAAATTTTTTATTTTTTTTATTAATTAAAAATTAGAGCTAAAAAAATTTTTTTTATGTTAAAATTTTTGTTTTAATTTTTTAAAAATTATTTTTCAATAAAATAAATTATAAAGATTTTTAAATGTCGGCTAATTTCATTTTTATTACATGTAAGCTTTAATTATCTTTAAGAAATCATCACGCGTAAGTTCAACTTGTCTTGATGTCTCTAAATAAGCCTTTTGTTTCTTTAAATTATCCACTAGCAAACTTTGTTTCTTGAAAGCTTGCACCAATTCTTGTCTCAACCTTTCATTATTTTTTGTAATTACTTTAATATGATCTTCAAGCTTGCGTATTTTATTTACATTATTTCTTTCCTCGTTTTTACTAGACTTAAGACTATTCTTCAATTTTTCGTTGTCTTCCAACGAACGGTTCAGTCTTAAATCTAAAATATTTATCTGCTGCGTCGTACTTTTGATTTCTTTGTTAAGTTTTTGAATTTCCTGTAAAAAATTTAATTTAAAAACAATTTATAAAAATTAAAAAAAAAAAAAAAACAACTCACTTTTTTTAATGAATTATTCTCATTTAAATGCGCCTGTATATCATTTTGTTGAGTACTAATATTATTTTCCAACTTGCCAATATTATCTTTTAAATTATTTATTTGTCCCACTAACTTTTCTTTACACTCACTTGTCTTTTTATTATTATTCTCTAAATCTCGAATTAAATCACACTTTTTTTTCAAATCATCCTTAAGAATATCAACTTCACCTGTCAGCAATTTAATTTTGGCTTTTAAAAATTTAATAATAACTTCTTGGTTTTTTTTATTTTCACTTTTTAGTGAAAAAATATCTTCTTCATAGTCAAAAACATCTCTTCTGCAAATCAACCATAATAAAATTTAAAAAACAATAATAATAATATTAAATTTAGCTGTCACTTGACAATTTTTTAATTTTTTTTAACAAATTAATTTGTTCCAAAGAGTGCATGATTTTTAAAAAATTGCATTTTTAGTTTTTTAAAATTTCAAAATGTCAATTTTTTTTTTAATAATTTAATAATTAAATTTTAATATAAATAAATAAAATTACCTGTCATTTTTAACTTCTTGATTCTCAGCTGACTTGTATTCAGTATTAAAAAAATTAAAAGCCGATTGCGTGCGAAATTTAACAATTTCCGTTTCAAAATTATTTTTATGATTATTATTTATCACTGTATCTATTTCTTCCAAAAGTTTATGAGTTTTTGATTCAAGTTCTTTATTTATCCGGCGAAATTCTTTTTCTTTTATTAATAAATCATCAGCCATTGTTTGCGCGTGTTTATTTCCATAATAATAACAAACATACAAACAAGATGGTTGCCATGGCAATTGACACCGAAGTTAAAGTTCAAAGCAGCTAACTTCAGTATGATTCATGGCGGCCATATTGTAATCAGCCAAGCAAATCCCAGTTTTACTAATCCAACTTCTAAATAATTATTTACAATTTATAAAAAATTTCCGTGCAATTATTAATTATTTTTTTAATTAATAAAAATATGAATATGTGTTTTATTAATTTAAATAACTATCTTCAGACAATTGATGTTTCATAACTTAAAATGAAAGTTAGTAAAAAAAAAATTTATTAAAATCGCGATGAAGAAATAAAAATGACAGGGAACCGCGGGGTGTCACAAGGTAAGAATAAAAATAATTAATTAAACTACAATTAAAAAATTTAATTTATTTATTTAGCGTTTACTGAATATCAAGCGGCTCGCTTAAGATTTGTCCAAACAATATCTGACTTGTCTTCTCGAAGTCACAACATTGAAGGTCTGGAGAAAGCGGGTGTCTTGGACTTGTTAGAGCCGTTGCTTTTCGACGTTTTACCTTCAATACAACAAACAGCGATCGCAACACTCGGAAAGTTGACTAATCATGAAGAAAAGTTAGCTTATGCTGTTGTAAAGCGAGATATTGTTCCTAAATTGCTGGAAAATTTTGAGAAAAAAAATGTGAATACTTAATTAATTAAATTAGATTAATAATTAATGAAAATTAAGTTAGCCGACATTCAAAAATTTTTAGAATTTTTTTTTATTGAAAAAATCATTCCTAAAAAATAAAAAAAAAAAATTGTCATTTGTACAAAACTTGAAAAACTGCAAGTGCAATTTTTAAAAAATGTTTTTTTGTTCTTATTTAATTATTAAAAAAAATTAAAAGCGTCGGCTAACTTTAGTATTGATAATTAATAGAATTGTTTTACAGAAATTTTATAAAAAATCAACCTTGTATTTATTTCGCACGATATCTAAACACTCTGAAGATCTAGCAAATTTTGTGGTTGATGCGGGAGGAATTAACGCCATCTTTGATAGTCTAGGTGACCTTGATTTTGGGGTTAAAGAAAATGCTGTCTGGGCTGTTGGATATATTGCAAGGCATAGTGAAGATTTAGCGCTTAAAATAGTTGCTACAGGTACAATAATTTGTGTACTTAACTTTCAATGTTAAATTACAGTTTAAAAAAATTTTTTTTCTAAAAAAAAAGAGTTTAATTACAATCTTGCCACTCTATAGATTAAAAAAAAACTTTACGTCTATTTAATCTTAACTTCCAATTAAAAGTAATTAGCTAAAAAAGTCTCGAGGTGAGAGATTTATCAAAGATGGCGACTTGCCAATTTATTTAGTTGAATATTTTGACCACAGGTGTCGTTCCACTGCTAATTCTATGTTTACAAGAACCGGATAATAATTTAAAGCACCTTAGCGCTTCAGCGTTGTACGACATCAGCAAACATACCCCAGAACTTGCGCAAGTGGTCGTTGATAATGACGCAATAATAATTCTAGCGAAATTACTGATGAGTGAGGAAGTAAAATTAAAGCGGCAAGTATTATTAACTCTTGGTAGCATCGCAAAACACTCGACAAATTTGGCAGAGTCTGTTGTTGAAGCGGACATTTTTCCAAGTTGTTTGTTGCTGATGGGTCATCCCGATGATGCTGTCAGGAAGAACGCGGCTATACTCACCCGAGAAATTTCCAAGCATACTCTCGAGGTTAATTATTAAATTTTAAAAAATATTTTTTATTTTTTAGATTATTTAATTTACAATTTTGGTTTTAGCTCGCTCAATTAGTCGCAAACGCCGGCGGAATAGCCGCACTGATAGAGTTTATATCTACGACGTTTAAATCATCAACAAAATTGCCCGGGATAATGGCGCTAGGGTATATTGCCGGTCACTCGGATCAAATTGCAATTGCAATAATTGGATCCCAAGGTGTGGTTTTATTATCAAAGCTGCTGATGCAGGAAATTGATGACAGTACTCAGGCTATTATTGTTTGGGCGCTAGGCCAATTGGGTAAACACAGCCCGGAACACGCGCAAGCTGTCGCTGTTACTAATATTTTTCCAAAATTTATCCAGGTAGCCTTAAAAATTAGAAAATCTAAAATTGCACGCCTCAAAACGCGTTTTTAGGTGTCCAATTTATTTATTAACTTTTAATAAATTTATTTTAGCTATACATGAATCCAAAAAGCTCTCAAGATTTAAAATCAAAAATAATATCGAGTTTTAAAAATATTTTGCCGAAATGTTCCGCAGTTGATGCTTTAGAGCCGCTGATAGGTGACTCACCGCCGGAAATATTGAGCGACATCTTACAACACTTAAGCGAGGTAAAAAGAATTAATTTTTTTTTTTTTTTTTTTTTATTTACTTTTTTTTTTTTTTTTTTTTTTATTTTTTTTATATAACAATAATTGACAAAATTAAATAGTTTGTAACTTATTTTTACATTTTATTTTAAATAATATATATATATTTTTTTTTCTAATCTATATGAATAATTTATATGAAATTTCAGTCAATTTCAAATTGATTATCGGTAAAGTTTGTTTAATTTTTTTTTAAAGAAATAAAATTTAATAACGGGAAGATTGTATAGAATTTTTATAAATTAAGTGTAAAGCTTTTACAATAATCTTCTCAGTCTTGTAATTTAAAAAAAGTAAATTAAAATTGCATTATTTTTATTAGGCGTTTATATACATTGTAAATTTTTAAATCGGAATTTAGCTTTGAAAAAAAAATAATACTCCATATTTCTATTGGCAGTATATTTTTTTAGTAATTAATTAATGAAGAAAAATAAATAATAAATTTTAATTCAGAGTTATTGACAGATAAGGCATGATCTTTGATATTATTTACGCAGTTAATATTCTAAGTACTAGTCATAAATTTATTTTCGCATAATAAGCTCGGTTAGTCATATATATATATATATATATATATATATATTTAATATTATACAATTATTAAATCAACATCAATTATAAAATTTAACAAACATAACTAAAATGTACAATTTTTAGTTTATATTTAAATCACATAAATTGGCGACTTTTTTTAAATATTAATAAATATTTACAGTTTTTAGGTTTAGCGATAAAAAAATTTATAAATTTCGTTGGTTTTTTTTTAAATTTCGGTCCTGCTTTTTAAGTTAATATAAGTACGGCTGATAGCAAGCTATTTTTTCATATTTTACCTGTAAAAAAAAAAATATAAATAATCTCGGCAGTGCCAAGTGCAATTTTTAATTAAACAATAAGGCCTTATCTAACACTGCCATTATAAAATCACTAGTACAATTACAATTACTTATAATTAATCGGTAGCCAGGAAAATTTTATTATAAATAATTATAAAGAAAATTTGAACTAGTCCTGGCCCGTAAGCTGAAATTTATATACATTAACAATATTTAAAATATACTAGCGAGCTGCAGTATATAAAAAATTAAAATTTTGCTTTATTAAATAATGATTCTTGTTAAATTGCTCTGTAATTTTTTATAAATATTGACGTTTTTAAAGATATAAGCTCATCTTGGTGTTACAATCATCAAAAACTTTCATTTGAGTACCCACATGTATACATATATATAGTATATATAAATATATAAAATATATGAAAAATTGATGTGGGTACTCAAATGAAAGGTCTTGATGAGTGTAGCATCAGGATGAGCTTATATCTTTAAAAATGTCAATATTTCACAAGATACAAGGTCATTTCTTAATTATGTACTTAGAGATACAAAATTTTAGAATGCAGCCTAAGTACTTATCATAATCAATTGACTACCGGTGAGAATGAAATGAAACCTTGAAAAGGCACAAATTCAAGTCAAGACCTTTTGACACTAAATTTCACTAAAAAAACCGATTTTTTATGACTATCCAGGAAAGAAAACTGTTCTTATTCTCTTAATTTAACAATATAGATAATTACTCATCATTGTCATCATTGGCTTTAATACTAGCGTAATTATTAACATTTCTATTCACCCTAAGCATCTTGAGAAAACTTCCAAGGACAAGAATGGTCTTGCGGTGCCGGCGAAATATTCCGGAGTACAAAGCTTCACGTACGTCCCTCCGGTCGCTCACATCCGAGTCGATACTTGACACAGAAACGACCGGCGGTTTGGCGGCTACTGAATTGTGTCCATAACTGTGCTCATTGCCACTCAAAATGACCCTCGGCTGGTTGTTGATCATTTTGTTTAAATTAAAAATAACTGAGTTATTTTTTAGCGACACCTTTTTATAAAAAAAATACTGTTTTTTTTAAACTTAAAATAATCTCCGAGAGATAAAACTTCCTTGCATTAATAAGCTTTATAAATTACAAGATAAACTTGTCACTTTGTTTAAATTAAATTTTTGTGACCCACTATCACTATTTAATTAACGATAACTTAATCTTCCTTTTAATTTGGTTATTTTAAATGCTATTAATATTTCTTTAGGGTGATCGGATTTTACCATCCAATCTCTTGTCATTATCCTCGAGGTGCTTTTTATTCTGACTAATTAGTCAAAGTAATTTGTGTTACCATTGTCGTGATAATTGAATGTGTTACTCTGCGTGAATCCAATGATTGACTGTCGATCTTGGAATAATGTCCGGCCTTTTTACACTTTACACACTCGAGACTTTGTGTACATGTGTGCCTCACTTTAGTATTCATCCACTCAGCGGAATCAATTTTTACTCATTCTTCCTCGTTTATTTATAATTTTCTGGAAATAAAACAAATATTTTAATTGCGTATTTTTTAGATTTTTTTATTTTATTTAATAGAATTTTTTAAATAAAAATTTTTTATAAAAAAGCCAGAATTTTTAAATTAATATTTTTATAATTAGCACAAATTTAAATAATTTATTATGAAGCTTTATTTTAAAACTATGGCTTATTTATTAGCCTTAAAAAAAATTATGAGACATTTTTTTTTAATTAAATTTTTATTTCAAAAATTTTTTTATAGAATAAAATAATAATTTTTTTATTAAATAAATTTTGAATTTTTATTTAAAAAATTTAGGATTTATCAAAAAATTATTTTCTTAAAATATTTCATTTCCTTTGTGTGAATAATTAAAGTCGCAAAAGACAAGATTATTATCGCTGCTTTAAATAAATTAAAAAAATAAATTTGTAATGCAAGAAGGAATAATAATAACAACAATAACAGTAATATTGATGTAGAAATAATGAAAGATGATTGTTTTTTATTGACATGACTAATTCAGATAATAAATATCTCTAGTAAACATATCGTGTAAAACGATCAATTTTTTATTGCCAAAGGTCTATTTGTAAATACTTGAAAACATTTTTATTAATTTTAATTCATCCAATGATAATGATCTTTCATTTTTTTCCGTTGTTGCTCTAGAGTTTTATTTTTATTCTAAATAACGGAATATTTAAGCTCAATATATATTTTTTTTAATCGGAAACTTTTAATTGGAAATTTGCCAATTTAAATATATATTTTTAAAAATATAAATTCAACGAACTTTGACTTTATTTTTAGCTTATAAAAATTTACTGTAAATAACTATTCTGTAAAAAAATAATTTTAATAATAAATACACAATTGTAGTGTTAAGCGGTAGGCAAACTTGTGGATGTAGGTGAATAGGTCATCACCAGGTTTCAGAAGCCTTATAAATTACTTTTTACATGCAGTATTATTTAATTTTTCTTTTAATTACTTTTATTAAAGAAGAATTTTTTTTTGTCTTCCTTTTTTTTTTAGATTCTTCCGAGTGATCCTAAATCAAGACGGTCATTTGTCACCTCCGGGGGATTGAAGAAGATCCAACAATTGCAAACAGAGCCTCAATCTAAATTAAATGAGTTTATTAGCACAATAAATAGCTGCTATCCTGAAGAAATTATCAGGTATGTTTTTAATATTTAATTTAATATTTATTTTGATAATAATATATTTGAACTTTTTTTTTACATAAAAAAAATGTCTTTTTTTAGAATTTATTACTTTTATCAATATTAATATTGATTTTTTATTATTCTAAATTAATTATATAAAAAATTATTTACAAAAAATTTTTATTTGTAATTTTTAAAAATTTTTAGCTGTCAAATTTTTTTTATAAAAATTAAAGAAATTTTAATTAAAAATTTGACAGATGTTTCTTTTAATAAAAAAAAATATAAAATTTACCTTTTAAAAATTTTTTTATGTCACATGAATATATTCCCTGACAAAATAAAATTTTTCTGGACTAAAATTTGTATTTTTCACTATAGTCATTTTATAAAACGTATAAATTTATAAAATATAAGATCTAGTTATAGGATTGACACTCACGAAGACACTAGTTGCTTTTAATAAGAACCTAACCTAATTTCATTAAATATAATAATTGTCATACATACAAACAAGTACATAAATACAATAGGAAGTACTATTTAAAATAGTAAATACTTATATTCGTAAACACAATTGTCACATTGTCATTTTAAAAAATCTATATAAAAACACGGAAGTCTTTGACAATATAACAAAAACAGTTTTTTATTAAAACTTTTGTAAATAAAACTACTAAAACAGGAAATTATTCTGTCAAGAATACTGTTTATCAATATATATATATACCATTTATTACGAATGATTGATTATTGTACTACTATCTGTCGTAATTGTTATTGTTGTACATAGATAAAAGTTAGTAGCGGCAGTGCCACCATTTTGATTATTAAAATTTCATACAAACACTGCTTCTATTCGATCAATACGTTATTTACGTATATTATATATACTTAATACACAACTTTTGTCTCTGCCAAACAATGACATTACAAACAATTAAACGCTATTATTGATTCAAAAATTTCATTTCTTCTTTATTAATAATTATTTTTTTTTTTTTTTTATTTTATTTTTAAAATCAAAATTTGACATTTTTTTTTTAGATATTTTTCTCCAGGATACCCGGACATTTTACTGGAAAAAATTGAACAGTATACACCGAAGCCGTTGACTGGAAGTCTAAAAAATTATTCGTAATTTTTTAAGAATAAAAAATTATAAATTTAAGGTAAGAATTTTTTTTTCTTCTATTTTAAAGTCTTATATTTCTTCTTTCGATTTTTTCATTTTAAATTTCAAATTAAAAATTATTATTGACATAAATTACATTAAATTAAACAAATATAAAAAAAATCTTTAGATTTTTTTTTTAAATTAAATTATAGAAAAACTTTTAAAAGAAGAAATTTCAATTAAAAAAAAAATTGCACATGTAAAAAACTTGAAAAACTGTAAGTGCAATTTTTTATAAATATTTTTTTAGTTGTAATTTAATTAAAAAAAAAAAAATCAAAAATTTTTAGATGTCTGCTAAGTTCAGTGTTTTACAAAATTTTACATATTTTTTATTAAAATAGTTTTTATAAATTATTTTTAATAAAATTATTAAAAATAAGCTTTGTAAAAAATTCAAAAACTTACAACAAAAGATGTCTCCTAATTGATGATACAAAAAATCATCATCTTCAGCCGGTAAGATAGAAAGAAGACTATATATAAAAAGTGTTTGCTAACCTAAGATAAATTATACCCTTACCGACAATCGATAAAAACAATGAAAAGAATGCACTTTCACAGCAGGAAGCAAACAAGTGACAGTAATTCTTGTTCCCCGAGAATCCTTGACAATTCTCCGGTAGTAAAGCTATAAAAACACGATAACTGCATAAATAAGCATAACTCTGATACCGGAACCGGAAGCATGTATTTTAGAGCACCGATCAAAAGGCGGTCAAAGATTGTATCCACAGTGCACTTTCACCGCAATTGCTCAGAATAATTGGTAATCATCTTCATAATCTTCCCGATAATTATTCCGTGATACAATCTAAAGTGGAATGTATTTATTTGCCAAGGCCTTAACTCTCAAATATTCTGGTAAATTTGTTGTCAAGTGCCCTTCTATCGGCACGCAACTTAATTATAAACAAAGAAGAAAACGTTGGAGTGGTACTTGTGGGTAATATAATATATCCATTAGCATCTGCATCAGTTATTGCCGTCACTCTCTTTTCTAGATCGCGATTACCAGAATGTGAAAGTCGACTCGGTCATCTGGTCATCCTTATTATGTATATACTCGTATTTATTTCTTGTTTATAACATTCTCCAGTGTAAAACCTCAAGTCTGAATAGACAAAATTACCTTTACTCAACTATTCAACTCACAACTCAGGTTTATGCACTTACTTCTTACATCTTAGGTTTATTATTATTACTATTACTAAATTTGCCTAAACGGCTTAGCTTTTCCACGGCACATTTTCGTACTAAAGAACCATTGTTCGGTTATGTCACTCTTCTTTTGTGCATTACCACTTTTATATTTAGCCTTTGTCTTCTTTTAAATTATACACTTATATAGAGAAGGATTTATTAACTATTAATAATTTTATTTTTTTCAAGACAATTTAATTTTAATAAATATTTTTTAACATTCAATAAATATTTATTAAATCCTATGATGTTAAAAAATCATTTATTAACAGTTAATAAAATTTATTAAATATAAAAGAATCCTTCTATAAGTGCAGGTTATGGGCCCAGGCTTAAAATCCAATTTTAGGGCTAATTTTATAGATATAAATAAATAAATAGCAGCTACAGGTTATGAGCCCAGGCTTAAAATCACTTTTAGGGCTGATTTTAATGATATAAATAAATAAATCAATTAACAGCAGCTATATTAACTATATTTAAATTTATAAAATAAAATATTTAACCTAAGAAGAAATGGGAAAGATAAATAAAATTAATAGATTATCGATGAGTGGTGAACGGTCTTTGTGCAATAGTATTAAATATAAAATGTTAAATCCCCTCTAATTATCAGCGCGTAAGTACAAGAAGAAAAGACTAGGTTTTAGTTGATGGTTAAGATTCTTTTAAAGGCCTAACCTCCTACTCTGTAACACTAGTAATGGATAATGTAATGTAATATAATGTAATGCAACGTAAGTTTTAAGTAAAAGAAAGGCAGGAGTTACGAAAATACGAAAATGACGTTACATATTCACCGTAACTCGCACTCTTTAAATTTTTTTCATTATTACTTTTAAACTTACACACTGCTCTAGTTCTATACCAGCAACATCATCCCGGGATTATTATTTCAACAACAACATTACTCTGCTAACTGTTATTAAGCTATTAAATTATTTTAATTTAAATAACTTGCTAATTTTTATTCAAACTTCATCAAGCCTAACCTTATTTATCATTACAGAAATTCTTTAACTGATATTTTCATCAAGACTCGATGGATTTACTTAGTTTTTTGTTTATTAGCTTCGTATCACGATAAAGATTAATTCTATTTAATATTTCTTTTTAAAACCTTCGAGTTATTTTTTAATCAACAAATTAAAGTGAAAATTGAGAGGATTGCAACCGCAGCCATTTTGGTTTTGTGAATTGATGATGATAATAGCGGGAAATTTGAAAAAGGCGGTAATTTAAATTTAAATGAAATTTAAGTAATTGTAATAGTAAAAACAAAAATAATCATCAAGCCTAACCGTATTTATTATTACAGAAATTCTTTTAATGATATTTAGATGAAGACTTAATGGATTTACTTAGTTTTTTGTTTATTAGCTTCGTACCACGCCAAAGATGAATTGTACTTAATATTTCTTCTTAAAACTTTCAAGTTTTTTTTGTAATCAACAAATTAAAGTGAAAATTGAGAAGATGGAAACCGCAGCCATTTTGGTTTTATGAATTGATGATGATGATAATGGCGGGAAATTTAAAAAAGGCGGTAATTTAAATTTAAATTAAAAAATAAATAAATAAATGGAACTTAAGTAACTGTAATAGCAAAAACAAAAAGGATTATTGAATCCCGAGAATTTATTTCTTTATCTGAGTGATGCAGAGTGCACACGAGTTGTGGGCAACAAACAGGAGGCAGAAGGCAACGTGTTGTGTGTCGTAAGGGGTCTCCGCGTAATAAGCTTTCTCCGAGAGGTGAAAATTCTCAACTTTCTTCGAGACTTAGCCATCACACAAGCACATCCACGTTTAAGACCAAGACCACGCGACAACAGTCTTGGTACCTCATTCTTATTTTCCATACATTTGATTTTAATTTAAATAATTCATTTTTATTATAATTTATAATTATTCTCCTTCACCTTCGTTTGATAAATTGTCGTCAAGACCATCAATTTTCCTTTTAAATTTCCTAAATCTCTTGAAACCTATATCTTTTAACTACTGATGATTAATCATTTGGTAATTTGTTTCTTTGAGTAAATATTTGAATTTGAATTTAAATTAACGAGTTAATCGATTACAGAAAATATACCTTTACAGCAAAAGTGAATGTCGTGCGTGGATATCATCTCTAATAATTCTGATGTCATTTATAGAGAAAGTATTCATCCATTAAAATTATTTTATTTCTTACTTAAACTAACTCTATATTTTTATTGTTTTTTTTCTTTTTATAGCTCAATGTATTTTCGTAATAAAATTACGTTTTACTCATTAAATAACAGGTCAATTAACCTCTTTGTTAATAAAAGTTCACATATTTTCAGAATTGCGTCTAAATTCTATATCAAAAATTAAAACAACACAGAAGAATCTTTTGTATTCTTAAAGAAGAAATTAAAATTATTTTTCTTTCTTCTTTATTAATTTTTATCTTTAAATTAATTTTTTAATAAATTTTTATTAAATTTTAATGATTATTTAATTTAATAAAATTTTTAATAAAAATTATCATTTTTTATTTCTTCTTTATTAATTTTTATTTTTAATTCAATTTTTTGATAAATTTTTATCAGATTTTCTTTAAAGTCAACCATTTTTGTTCAAAATTTTTATTATTATTTAATTAAATGAAATTTTTAGAAAAATTATCATTTTAATCTTTAAAAATGTCATTTTTTATTACTTTATTATTAATTTTTATATTTAATTCGATTTTTTAACAAATTTTTCTAAAATTTTAATTATAATTTAATTAAATAATTTTTTTCATTGAAGATTTATCATTTAAAATTTTTAAATTTATCATTTTTTATTTCTTCTTTATTAATTTTTATCTTTAATTTGATTTTTTATAAATTTTTGGTTATAATTAACAATTTTAATTATAATTTAATTAAATAATTTTTTTTTTTTATTAAAAATTGTGATTTTAATCTTTAAAATTTTCATTTTTTATTTCTTCTTTATCAATTTTTATCTTTAATTTAACTTTTTAATAAATTTTTTTCAAAATTTTAATTATTATTTAAGTTAATAAACTTTTTTATTAAAAATTATCATTCTAATCTTTAAAATATTCATTTTTTATTTTTTCTTTAATTAATTTTATTTATAAAATTTTCAATAAAATTAAAAATTTTATTATTTTTATCAAATTAATTATTTTGTAAATATTAAAATAATTAAAAAAAAGTTTATATTAACTGTAATAATTGTATTAAAAATTCTAACACATAATTAAAAATACAGTTATTAAGAAATAAAATAATTAAAAAATGAAAATGAACTAAAGCGTGCCTTTGGGGCCTAAAATAAAATGAATAAATAAATTACCGAGTTTATTAATTTATCATCAAAAGAATGGTATAATCTAGAAATATTTATAAAAAGTTTCTAAACTAAAAGCGAGACCTTTGGGCATTTGTCAAAGCTAATTACCATATTTACAAAATAAAAGGTATTTTATAAATATAAAATAAATAAAATGAAAATAAGTACAAGTAAAAGTGACGGGGAAACGTTTCGGCCGGACGTCCACCGTTTTCTGGACGCTCCGGGGCAGAAAGGCCAACAGAAGATTCCTCCTCTTCGTCTTCACAATACCTTCTCTGCAAAAACTCCCAACTCACTTTACAAAATAATAATAATAATGTCCAGATTATTACAATAACACGTGTAATGACAAGATTCGATTTTGTGCGAAAGTAACTTGCTTAAATATTTAACATTTGGGTCACTTTGGATTTCATTTAGTTTCTATTGACTTATTGATTGTTAGCTTCTTTTTTAGCGTTTCTAATTCAACGGGTTCATTACCGCTAAACTTAAATATATCTATATATTTTTACGAACTTTGTTTTCGCCAAATAAGTAGAACCGACCTTGACGCTCACAAAAGAAAGCATGTGCTCTATTCTTCGTTTTTTGGGTTTTAATTGACAATTATTTTTTTATGGCATTGCGATATTTATTCAAGGAATTCATTATATATTTTTAAATATTAATTAAAGTAGTTTTTTGTTACGACATTAATAATTAATAATTCCTTTTTTTTATTTCATAATTTTATTATTTTTTTTTTCATTATTCTGGAGTTTAAATTAAGACATTTTTTTTTATTAATCTTTAATTATTATTTTTAAGAATTGTAAAGAGTAGTTAAACTTTCTTTTTATTTATTTTCTAATTATCGAATTAAGAAGAAATTTTATTTTAAAAAAAATTATTATAAAATTTATTTATTTCTTCCTTAAAAAAAAAAAAAAAAATTACATTTATTTTTTAATTAAAAATATTTTAAATAATAATAATTATTAATTTTAAAGAAAATTTGTTGATAATATTAATTTTTTAGTTAAAATCAATAATAATTTTATAAAAATTAACTTATTTCTTCTTTAAAGAATTAATTACATTAATTTTACTGAAATTAATTTATTTCTTCTTTAAAAATTAAAAATGACTTTAATTTATATTTTATTGGAATTTTTAAATAAAAAATTTATTAAATTAATAATAAATATTTATTTTTTATAAAAATTTAAGAAGAAATTAAAATAAAAATTTTAAATATTAATTCGATTAAAAATTACAATAATTTTATCAAAATTAATTTATTTCCTCTTTAAAAATAATTAATTTACTATTTTTAATTCTTTTTAAGTTAAAGTTTGCAAAAAAGTTGTTAATTATTAATAATAATTATAATTTCAATAAAAATCAAAGAAGAAATATAAATTTTTAATTCAAAAATTTCCAAAAATACATTTAAAGTTAAAAATTGACCAAAAAAATAATTTCTTCTCAAAAATAAAAAAAAAAAAAAAAAAAAAAAAAAAAACCCGCAAAAGTAATCTTTAAAACATAACTTACGTAATTGGAGTAAAAGACAGTCTAAAACGTTAACCTTGGCTATGCACTACTTATTTACTTACATAATTTATTGATGAGTAGCTCGTGATTAATTAATTAATAAGCAATAACTAATACCCAGTAATTTAGCGTTTAAAGCATCACAATAATTACCTCTAAATAGAAACCTGAAACAAAATCGTGCTTAACAACAATTATTAACTGTAATAGCAATAGTCTGATATATATATATATATATATTTTAAAATAATAATCGGTCATGCAACGTCTGAACTTGCTAACTCTTGAATCACCCGATTTAGCGGTAAAATAACCAATCAACGCGTTAATTACCAATAATGTCGTCAACTAAAATTACAAATTTAATGAAAAACACATAGTAGTTGAATTATAATTGTGAGAATATATTCTTACAAGAGCCGATGAATAATTAATGGGTGTCCATGCACCGGAGATGGTATACCGTCCAGTAAAAGATGTATGTGGTGATTGTTGGTATGATGGGACGATGATGGGACGCTGAAGATTCCTATATCGTGTGTCGTATGTAGTAAAGGTATCACCAGTACAGGCCAGTTGGACCCTCTACTCTTTGCTCCCCGAAAGACCCAATGGGACGGTCGTTCGCCCGTATAAAAGCCCCGACAGACGAACCAGGAGCATCAGTTCGACAAATCTCATCCAACATACCACATCACCTCTCTAATTATATTTATCCCAGAAAGGTCTTTGTGGATTGTGGCAGTTACTTTAAGTCGATTGTCGTCGACTAGAGTCTTAACTTTTACAAGTTAATTAATTTTTTCATTTTCATCATGAGAGTATTCATGGTAAGTATTTTTTATTTCTTCTTTTAATATTTTTTATTACATATTTCTTCTTTGCCATTAATTATTTCTTCTTTTGATTAAATATTTCTTCTTTGCATGTCTTGTTGAAAATTAAACATTTTTTCTTTTCATTTCTTCCTTGATTTAACTATTTCTTCTTTCCAGTTAAAAATTTCTTCTTTTAAATTAAACATTTTTTCTTTATATTTGTTATTTTTATTTCTTCTTTGTCATTAATTATTTCTTATTGAAATTAACTATTTCTTCTTTCCGATAAAATATTTCTTATTTTATTTCTTCTTTGTCATAAATTTTATCTTTTTTTTTATTTCTTCATTTTATTTATTATTTTTAATTAGATATTTTCATTAAATTAATTAATAAATTAATGATTTCTTCTTTGTAATTATAGATAGTGGCGCTCGCTACGGCAGTAGTAGCACGACCAGAAGCTGGCTACAACTACCAATCCCCTGGCTCCACCTACGGTGCTCCAGGCGGAGGCTCTTTCAGCTCAGGTGGACTCTCCAGTAGTTCCTTTGGAATAGGTGGTGGCTCCTCTGGTGGTTCGTCTGGTGGTGGTTTCTCATCCGGAGGCTTCAGTAGTGGACACGGATCAGGATTCGGTGGAGGATCAGGCTTTGGAGGCGGATCTGGAGGATCCTTTGGAGGATTCAGTGGAGGCTCATCTGGTGGATTTAGTGGTGGCTCATCCGGTGGATTCAGCGGTGGCTCCTCAGGAGGTGCCCTCATCCAGAAACACATCTACGTCCACGTTCCCCCACCAGAGGCACCAGAAGAACCCCGATTCAGACCCCAGCTCCAGACCGCCGCTCCCCAGAAACACTACAAGATCATCTTCATCAAGGCCCCAACTCCACCTGCACCAACTGCTCCAGTAATCCCAGCTCTACAACAAGACGAACAGAAGACTTTGATCTATGTCTTGGTTAAGAAACCAGAAGACGCACCTGAAATCAACTTGCCCACTGCTGCTCCAACTCAACCCAGCAAACCTGAAGTTTACTTCATCAAGTACAAGACCCAGGTAAGATTTTTATTTTTTTTTTAATTGAGGAGAAAAAAACAATTAGTTCTTTTTATTAAAAAAGAACAATTAGGTTTTTTTTTTTTTTTTTTATTAAAAATTAACAATAATGTTACTTTTAGATAAAGTTTCAATTAAAATTAATCAAATTAATGATTTAAAAAAAAAAAAAAATAACATTAAAAATTGACTACTTTATTAACAAATAATGTTACTTTTAGATAAAGTTTCAATTAAAATTAATCAAATTAATGATTTAAAAAAAAAAAAAAAATAACATTAAAAATTGACTACTTTAGTAATTTAAAGAAGATTAAAGAAAAAATTTGACTAAAAATGAACAATAATTGAATTTTGAGAAGAAATTTTGATCAAAATAAGTAAAAATCTCAATTTTAGATCAAATTTTAATAAAAATTAACCATTTCAGTAACTTAAAGAAGAAATTTGAGTAAAAATGAATTATTTTAACAATTTAAAGAAGAAATTTCATTAAAAATCAAAAATAGTTAAAAATTGAGATGAAATATCTCCCAAAATTACTAAAAATTCCAATTTTAGATAAAATCTTTCTCTTAATTAACCAAATTAATGATTTTAAATGAAAAATTGATTATTTTAATAATTTAAATAAGAAATTTCATTTAAAATTGAAAATAATTAAAATTTTGATAAAAAGAATCCTAAATTCCCTTAAAAAAATTGATATTAATCAAATTACCTAACCAATTTTAACTAACAAAATTGACTAAAAACTTTAAAATTTCAGAAGGAAAGTGGCTCATCTGGCTCAATCGGTGGCGGAGTAAGTGGTGGCTCAATTGGCGGTGGAATTGGTGGTGGACACGGAGGCTCAATTGGCGGCGGCCACGGAGGCTCAATTGGTGGTGGACACGGAGGTTCAATCGGTGGTGGTGACCACGGAAGCACCGGCTCCAGCGGACCCTCCGCCCCGGGACCAAGCTACGGCACCCCTGGGCAGTCCGGTCCTTACTAGTCAATCGAAGCAGAATCATCTGGACCCACGACGGCTTGGACAGTTGGCTACGATACAATTGCCCAAGCTATCCTCCTCTAGCTCTACTCAGCTCACCATTATTTTAATTGATAATCGTTCCAGTTAGTAATTATCTAATCGTAACATTAATTAACGCACGTGCGAGCGCTGATTATTAATTACAATAATAATTATTAATTCTGCGCTTGTTTCACGTTCGACGCGGTAACGCAAAGCCGATCTTTCCTCGATGCCCGCTGGATCGGCCTTGCGCTACCTAGGTACTCTTCTTTAATTATTTTCTATTCTTTTCTTCCTTTTTGTACCATTTCTTCTTTTCTTCTTTCTTTATTGTTGACTTTAATATTATATATTATTATTATTAATTTTAACTTCGTACAATTGTAATTGTAATATAAAATAATATCTCAGAAGAAATATTTTTTTACACGGACGAATCGATGTAAGACGACCTATTTGTTATTAAATGACCAACACGACTTTGGCTCGCAATGTCGAGGGATAATGTACCTCTTTATTTTTATACGTAATTATTTTGCAAGAAATACGGTGGCGAAATAAAGCTTTTTTATGTATTTTTTTTTACATAAAAGAAGAAAAAAAAAAAAAAAAAAAAAAAAATATGACTAACTTATTTATTTTTAATCCTCACATTAATTAAATTTCCGAGAAACTTTCACCTGACAGAATTTCGAAGAGAAGAAGAATGCCCAGAGAGAGGCGCTCGAACAAGGAACTGTAAGCAGGTGCCACGACCTTTGATCCATCTGCTTTCACCCGACGGCGTGTGATCAAAACTCTCCAACGGTGGTCACCCACTTCCAGAATGCCTCTTATAAGAAGATCCTTTCACTATTTTATTCAATACCCTGAATTTTATCGCCATTATTGGACTTGAAGAAATTAAATCACGGCCAGACAATCTCTTCAAGTCGGGTATAAAAAGATACAGAGGATTGCATCAATGTGCTGGATGAATAATGACTCTTTTTAGACATTACCTCAACCTGTCTTGGGTTATTAAATTGTATTTTCACTCTTTCCGCGTTGTTTAAAAGGATTATCTTCAATTATTTTATTTTTTTTGTTGAATAACTTAACTTTGTGTCTTTATTTTAAAGAAGAAATATTTTTTTTTTAAAGGTAAAGAAGAGATAATTAATTAAAAATTAACAATTTTATTATTTTTAACCATGCCAGGATTCGAACCCTGTACCTAGATACCTTGGGTATCTTATATCATACTCTAGTCAATCTCCACAATTTAAATTACTATGATTAAAATTTGATATAAATAATGATTTATTTAGTAAATAATTCAAGAAATTTAATTGATATGCTATTTAAAAAATAAAAAAACATTTTTTTCTAATAAATTAGTTGTTTTAATTATTTTTACCCAAGCCGGGGATCGAACCCTTGACCTCTCGTGTATATAAAATTACACGCTTGACAATGCTAATACAATATTAATATTACTACAATAGAAATTTGTTATAAATAACTGAAATTTTTTTTTTTTAAATAAAATTTATTACAAAATATTTTACAGTATAAATTACAATAATAAAAATTTGATATAAATAATTGAAAATTTTATAATAAATCTTTTTTTTTAATTAGTGTATTAATACAAAATATTTAACAAATTAAAAATAAAACTTTAAATAAGTAAAAAAAAATTTTTTAATTAATTTTACCTAAGCCGGGAATCGAACCCTTGACCACTTGCGTATGTAATATCACACTCTAAAAAATCCCCTTGGTATAAATTAATATAATTGAAAGCTGAAATAAATAATAGAAAATTGTACAATTTCCAACAAAATAACATAAATAAGCATTACAAAATTCTAAAAATAATAAATAAAGCTTAGAAGAAGTTTACGTTATAACTTGGGCAATAAATTAAAATAGAATAATAAATGAGTATAAATATTTATAAAAAGTCGTATTCTATATAAAGCGTAAACAGTGAAGAAAAGGTCTTCCGCAGAAATAAAAAGGCAAAACAACAAAATGCCATCTTACATCTTCTTGGTGTAATTTTTTTAGTTTTCTTTGGAGAAAAAAAAAAAAAAAAAAAAAAAAAGGTAAACTTTCACTGGAAGGCGGTCAATTGCGGAAGATTAAATATAAAAAAGAAGGGTTTTTTTTTTTCAAGGTCCTATTTTAGAGTAACCGATCAATTTAAAAACATCCTTTATATATTATTATTCGTTTTGTAACTTGTAAATTCCAGAGACCGGAGAAAGTGCTCCATCGAAAGGATCCACAATTAAATGCGGTCTATGTTGTACCACTGGATTAAATAGCTTATTTTACAGCTGAAGTTAATAATAAATGAAGGAATAATAAAAAAAAAAATATTTAAATAATAAATAGTAAATATGGAGTGTAAATAGAAAAAATATCACGTCACGTGTGCCCGGAAGTCGAGGAGCGCAAGTGAAAGTTCACGTCGATTTGCCAACGACCACTTGCAAGGAAGACTCCCTGAAGAATACCAATTAGCGGAACCGTACTATATCAAGTTTATCTTAATTTCCCTCTTTATCATTTTTATTTTCTCGCCTGCCTTGCCAAAAATTTAACGATTGAGCGCCAGACAATTCTTTAGCTTTAGCTTTGTCTGAAAATAACTAAATATTTTTTAACAATTAAAACTGTTAATTAGCTTATTTTTATCGTGAGCAGAAATCAAACGCTATTGTCTGTTGCAGTACCTCACTGGAAAAGTAATAAATTAAGCTGTCCAGCATTCAAACTCGCTCGCTCAAAGAATCAATCCATCCTGTGTGTCTAAGTGGAAAATCTTTTTGTTGTTTTAATTAAAAAATCCTGGCAACGCCCGGAGGGAGTTATTAATTAAGGAAATTAACAGGATTTTTTATTATTGCTTGTTTATGAAATAATATAATTTAATGAATTTTTTTTATTTCTTCAGCATCTCGGTTGCGTAATCAAAATTAATTTCCTCATAGACAAAAATATGTATAAAAACGGTATGATGAAAATTTCGAGATTACTGTCTATCATCTTCCATTTGCTCTCGCTCGAGATTACTCAACTGGATTACGCACACGCGTACTTAAATAAAAGTTTAATGGTTTAACGAACCAGGCATATTTACGGCTTATAGCTCCATGCTTCATATATTCCTTTCGCTGCATATTGATGATACAACTTTTTATAGACATAGACATAGACAAGATTAGTGTCCATTTTTACTGCCCTTTAAATTATTACACACCAATTATAATTTTACTTTTAGGGGCGGTCATAAAAAGGGAAATATTTTTTCAATAATAAAAACTTTCAATTTTTATTTTAACCTGGAATTTTTATACAATTTGACATTAAATGTTGCTAAATTTTTTAAGCTCACTTTTTGAATACTAATTTAAAAGTAAAAAAAAAAAATTCTCAATTTTTTTCTTTTTGCAATTTTAATTATTTAAAAAATTATTATTATCATTAAAATTTTTAAATAATAATAATAATAATTTTTTAAAACAAGTCATTGTTATTATTATTAAAATTAAAATTTTTAAAGTATAATAATAATTTTTTAAAACAAGTTATTATTATTAATATTATTAAATTTGTTTATAATAATAATAATAATAATAATAATAATAATAAAATAATAATTTGTCTTGAAAAAATTATTATTTTTTTTTTTTAAAGGAATGTATTGAAGAAATTTAAAAGTTCAATACCCATATAAAAATTATAAAAAAGTTTAACTTGTAATAATCAAGATTCCAGATAAAAAAAATTTACCTCATCATTATTAGCATTAACAAGTCTATAAATAAAGTAAAAATAACTAAAAAAAGTTTGGATTAAATTTAATCCTGTGGTTTCCTTTCGAAATTATACGGTAAGTAAACTTAATTGCCAAAAGATTTCACTGAAATTCAATAAAAAAAAGAGTAAGTTAAAGTAAACAAAAATATTTCTTCTTCCTTGAAGATTCTTGACCCAAACAAATAATAACTTTTGTTACAACTGCTGTAATTGTCAAGTCTGTTATTACTTGACAAAGTGTTTTAATAACAGCAGCAATTCAGCTTTGTTTGATAGTTGATTGCGGTGAAGATGGATTGCGCTTAGCCGGGCAAATGCTCATGAGTGTATGATTGTATGTACGTGATTAATGTACCTGATGGGGCCCAGAAAAATCTCACGGGGGAAATGAAGGGAATAGAAGGTGCTGGACGTTTAGTAGTGTGAAACAGTAACAGAACTAACATAAGATTGGTCTATATACTTTATATCGTCTACTTACACATTTACACATGTGACCATGCAGACATTCTACACACGGACTAGCTGGTGGACAAGGTACCTCAACTAGGTGGTATAAAAGTTCCGACGAGGAACGGCATCCAGGCACAACACTCGCGATCGCCTGCCAGTTAAAAGTACCCAGTGAACTAGTTTTACCAAGTGATCTTTCTTCTTTTTTAATACTAATAACATTTTATTATTTCTTCCGAGATCATGCGTGGGCTTATTGTAAGTGTCGGTGGTTAATTTTATTCATTATTTTCGACTGTGCAGTTTTTTAGTGGCTTATTATTTTTTATTTACATTTTTAATTTAATATTTTACTCACCAAGAGTATTTTCCTTTTGTTAAGTGCCTGTGCTTTCTACAGGAAGTAATTATCAACGACTCGCTGAAGAAGCTAGTCTAATTACTTATTTTTCACTTCAGACAATAGACCTTAAATTGCTCTAAAATAAAAAACGAAAGCATTATATTAATAATTTATTAATTTTTTAATTAAATTTTTTTTTATTTAAAATTACCTTTTTTTGCAGCATTGACTCTCCATATAAAAATTTAAATATTTAATTCAATTTATCTGAAATTAAAAAAAAAAAAAAAAAAAAACCAAGTTATTATTATTGAAATTAATAATAATAATAATAATAATAATTTTTTAGAACAAGTTATTGTTATTATTATTATTATTATTAAAAAATTTTAATTATAATTAAAATTCACCATAAAAAATTAATTATTTTATTTCTTCTTAAAAAATCTTCCAGCTTTTGATGATTTTTGGTTGCGCGTGGGCAAAGCCAGCCCCTGAACCACCAGTAGATTCATACTTCCCACCCTCCAGTGGCCTTATCGGCGGAGGAGGCGGCTACCCTTCGGGTCCAGCAAATGTCCAGGACACTTATGGTCCACCCCAAAGACAACCAGTGATCCACAAGCATGTCTACGTCCACGTTCCCCCACCAGAAGCTCCAGAGTACAAGCCACCAAAGTACTTGCCGCCGCAACAAGCCCCGCAGAAGCACTACAAGATCGTCTTCATCAAGGCCCCAACCCCCCCAACTCCAACCGCCCCTGTCCTTCCAGCCCTGCCGCCACAGGACGAGCAGAAGACTCTGATCTACGTTTTAGTGAAGAAACCCGAGGAAGCTCCTGATGTTGTTCTTCCTACTCAAGCTCCCACTCAGCCCAGCAAGCCTGAGGTTTACTTCATCCGCTACAAGACTCAGGTTTGTTAATAAATTTGTTAAAGTTTTTTATTGGGGGCGTTTAATTGATTTTTCGAATTTTTTTAAATTGCAGAAAGAACAGTCGGGAAGCTATGGACCTCCTGCTCAACAGCCCCCAGACAGCTACGGACCTCCTTCTGCAGGAAATGGCGGTCCTTACTGATACGCTTAACTACCGCGTGCCAACAGCCAAAAAAATATTATATATAATTATACTTGACGGTAAATTTTCACTGATCTCCAGTAAAACATTGACTGATTTTCAGTAAACTATTTTTTAATTGTAAATCTAATGTCGGTGAAAATTTTACTATACTATAGAGTTTTAAACTATTTTTTTATAAAAAATAAAATTGTTTTTTAAAAAATATATGATTTGAAATACATATTTATTATCTTCACAGCTCCCAACTTTAAACTTTTAACAAATTTATTAATTAATTGTTGAGATTTAAATAGACGTGTGCACTGAGTAAAATTAATGTATGTAATATATATTATTACACCGTGAAAATTTTCTATTAATTATTACTTTACATTATTATTAAAATGCCCCTTAGTAAATTAAATAATTACTTTTGTTAAATTACACTGTAATTTCTTAACCATTGACATTTTTAAAGATATAAGCTCATCCTGATGTTAGACTTATCAAGAGCTTTCATTTGAGTACCCACATGCATTTTTGATATATTTTTCATATATACATATATATATATATATATATATATCTAATATATATAAATATATAAAATATATGAAAAATTGATGTGGGTACTCAAATAAAGGGTCTCGATGAGCATAACATCGGGATGAGCTTAAATCTTTAAAAATGTCAATATTTCACAAGTTAAAAACTAAATTTGATTTTATCGTACTGGTCACCCGTCCAGCTACTGACTATGTTTAACAAAAACTGTGGGACATTTTTAAATTTAATTTATACTTAAGTAATTTAGAAATAAATACGCGGGGCCAAGTAATACATTATTCAATCAACTATAATAATATAGTAAAAATAATTGGCAATACTAGTAATTTTTGCTTATCCAATGATTAGAAAAATGAAATGGAAATTTTTCACAGTGTATAAACTAATCGACGTGAGCCCTTCTGCGACCGCTAATCAGTGGCTTAATAAAGGGAGCTAGGAAGGGATACGATAGGAAGATTATACTGCCGATCCAGTAAACACTCGAGTAAATTTTAAGATACCGAGTGTAGGACAGCAAGTGGAAGGGAATAAATGCGTAACCCATAAATACTAGGGTGTAAAGTTTCAAAATAATCCAGATGAGAATTCCACCGAGAGGATGGTTTGCCGTCGCCTGGATTGATTGATTCTTCTTCAACGCGGAAGCAATCTGAAATATTAATCGGGAATTTATGAGGATGTAAATGGTAATTGGAAATAAAAAAAAAAAACTTACGTCTCTTTCGAAGTACATGATTATAAATTCGTTGAAGAAAGTAACGTAATAACCAGAGTGGAAGCCGTGCCAAATGGCAAGAAATACTAGAGTTAAGAACTGACTAGCGAAACGAGATCCCATAAATTTCAACCGCTTGTAGACGTACTCGCTGCACCATTCGTTAGTGTTCATGTTAAATGATTGGATGTAGTGACTAAACTCGGTTGCGTTTTCAAATCTTTTTAAATCGACGTTTTTGCAACCGTCCCACTTTGTTGACCCGTTCTCGTCTTTACCATTGTAGGAAATTCCGAATGTTATACAGACCTTCAAACATTCAATTATTTTTTTTTTTTATTTTAGCTATACTTATTAGTAAAAATATTTTTATTTTTGAAATTATTGCTCAAGATCAGAGATAGGGCAAAATTATACTAAATAATAAATTTTTTTTGTTAAATATGTTAAATTAAAACCTTACTTTTACTTGATTACTTCATTACCTAAACTAGGTGGCTGGACTGGACCCATAACCTGTTGGAATTTCTGCTACTTTATTTGAACTTCAATTTTTTACTTGATAGTTCTACTTTGATTTTAATTTTATTTTATTTTATTAAGAGTCGCTCAATTATAACACCTTAGCTACAGTATCTTCAATATTTTAGCCATAATAAGTATTTTAAACTTTTGAAACCTTGGGATAAGTTTTATAACTTGATTTTTGAACTATTAGTTCAAATTTGGGAAAAAAAATTAGAGATAGGGCAAAATTATAAGCTTTTTTTTTTTAAGAAATTGAATTCTCTATAAAAAAGGTTTCTTGTAATTTTTTTCTTCAATATTTGAGCCATAATGAGTAATTTGAACTTTTGAAAACTAGGGATAAGTTTCATAATTTTATTTTTGAACTATAAGTTCAAATTTTGAACATAAAATAAGACAGAATAATATTGATAAGGACTTTTTTATATAGGAAATTTAATTCTTGATAAAAAAAAAGGTCAAATTATTTTTTTTATCTTCAATATTTTAGCCACAATAAGTACTTTAAACTTTTGAAAACTAGGGATATATTTTTTATCTCGATTTTTGAACTTTAACTTCAAATTTTGGACAAAAAATGAGAAGACAAAATTTATAAGGAATTTATTTATAAAATAAAATTCTTAATAAAAAAAGTTTCTTATGATTTTTTTCATATTTTCAATAATTTAGCCAAAATAAGTACTTAAAACTTTTGAAAACTAGGGATAAATTTTTTACCGTGATTTTTTGACTAAATTAAAATTTTGGACAAAAAATTAGAAAAATTGAATGAAAAAATTGTAATAAATAAATAATTATTAAATAAAATAATATTTACCCCTTCACTTAAAAGCCAGCAGCAGATATACTTATATAGATTAACTCGTCCCCACAAGCCGAGCAATAAAAGTCTGCTGATGTAATTATGAGTGTCGAGTTTGCTTATCATGTACTGATCGGAGATAATATAAGTTCCTAGTTGATAGAAAAACAAGTAGAGGAATCCCTGCATCGTTCTTGTAAATCCAGCCTCAATATGATCTGAGCCTCCGCCGGATTCCTGAAATGTTTACAATAAAAAAAAAAAAAAAAAAAAAAAAAAAAAAAAAACATAGTAAAGTTGTAATTATAATTATAAATAACTAATTACCATGTTGCGTAAATATTAACGCACTGAAACGTTATGCAATGAAATAATCACGGTTATAATAGAGATTTTTCCATTGATTTCGTACATTAGAGCACTTTTTAGCTTTCGTTATTATATTAAATAATACTCGTTATTATGAATTGTTTTTTTATAGCCAACAAGTAGCAATAAACTTCCCAGAAATTTATTTCGAGTACAAAAGATATTATTGTTAAGAAAATACTATTATTTTATACTACTCACTTTAATAAACACTCCACTGACGTAATTTTGATACCGCTTCACTGTGAACTGGGGACCCACGAGAAAGGATCCCGGAAAGTAAACAAAAGCAGCGATTTCAAGAAAGCTCGGAAGCGCTTTTAGACATTCTTTTTTTTGGTACGCCGACAGCTTTGACTCATCCTTCCGTCCGTCGCTTAAGTTAAACGCGATCCCAATCAGTCTTAATGTCAACACGCAATGCGGCATTGTCCATTTTATGTCATAGCCGTCTGTTGTTGTTACCCAGTACCCTGAAAATCGGTAAATCATTGCTAGTTACTGTAATTTTATCTCATTAAATTATTTTATATGTTTTGTTTTGATAAATTTCATCAAAAATCGTTTATCAGCTGCAATTATATGATTTTTTTTATTCAAAAATGCTATTTCTAGATACATAATTAAGAAATGACCTTTTATCTTGTAAACTATTGACATTTTTAAAGATATAAACTCATCCCAATGTTATACTCATCGAGATCTTTCGTTTGAGTACCCACATCAATTTTTCATATATTTTATATATTTATATATGTTATATATATATATATATATATGAAAAATATGTCAAAAATGCATGTGGGTACTCAAATGAAAGCTCTCGATGAGTGTAACATCAAAATGAGCTTATATCTTAAAAAACTTCAATATTTAAGAAAGTACAGAGCAATTAAACAAAAGTATTTAATAAAGCAAATTTTTAATTCTTTTAGTTCATTATTATTTAAAAATGAAACAATGGAGCAACAACTTTATGAGAAAAAAAATTTTCTTTATTATTACTTACCGTACGACAAGTAGCCCATATTGAAAACAAACGTTAAGATAATTGACAACGTTGATCCTCCGAATAGCCGCAAAATCAGGTACGTAGCGCTCAAAGCTAGAGCTGAATGTCCAACATTCCATCCTAATAATATTTATTAATATCAATTAATTAACACACTATTTTTTCTTTATCAAAGCCCGGCTTCTCTATATAGTCAATTAGATTATCTTTTATTACATTATTTCATGCTCCACATATTTATATACAGTAACTTGATTTTAATAACAGAAAAATTAATTAGAAATTTCTAAAAATTTTCTTTAATAATTAAATTATAGCAAAAAAAAATTATTAAAAAAATGGACTTGTAAAAATTTTAATAATTTAAAAATGCAATTTTTTTGTTAAAAAAAATTATCAAATGACTAAATTTAATATTATAAAATTTTTATAATTAATTATTATTATATAATATTAGAGTAATTACCAAAGTTCCATGCTCCCAAAAAAGTGCCGCATAATATAAAAAAAATATGCTGCAGTTCCGGTGATTTGTTAATGAAAAACCTACGATGTATATAAGCAAATGGAAAACCTAAAAAAAAAAAAAAGATTAATTTAAAAAAAATAAATTTTTAGTTTTTTAAATAATAAAAATAATAAATAAAAATATTTACCTAAAAATATTGACACGAGAAGCCGTATTGCAGGCATAGTACAACCTAGAGTATGAGCCAAAGTTCCGAACAACCCGGAGTAATCTTGATTACCGGACATTTTTATTAAACTGTTTATTATTGTCACTGTTATTAAATACTACTACAAGTCAGAGTACAAAGAGTAAAAAAGTAGTGACACGGAGAAGGTTTCTGTCGAGATTATATTCAGAGCCGTAAAAAATAGCTCATCGTCTTACATTAACTTATCGAACACTCTTCTGACGATAACATTCAACATTTAAATACAGTGGCTAGTGTGTCATCTGACATTATTCGACTTTTCTATTTCAGTGTCACTATCAACAACTTTATTTGACGTTGAGGAATATGAAAACTCATGGAACATGTTATTTTATTGTAATTCTTATGATAACAATTATTATTATAGCAATAATTGAGGCTAAAACACGACACACAATGACAATAATGGTGTCGGAAAATCAAGTTCAATGCTGACAGAGTGGCGCTGCGGGTGTTTTCTTCCTTACCGACTGTTTTTAAATAATAAACAACGAATTTTTTATTGAACTGAAGTTATCTGACAGCTGTCAATTTTTTTTTTTTTTTTTTTATTTTCAGTTATAATTTTTTTTTTTACTATTATTTTTTTATCAAATTAGGAAAATTAATATAGCAGATATTTAATAATTTTTTTAATAAATAAATTATTTTAAAAAATTGACATGTAGAAAATTTTAAAAATTAAAAATGCAATTTTTTAAAAATAATTTTTTTGAATAAATTTTTTTGTTAAAAAAAATTACAAAATGGCCGAGACTGTTAATTTTAATGTCAAATTAATTTAGCAGTTATTTAATAATTTTCTTAACAAATAAATTAGGCAAAAAAAAAAAAATATTTAAAAAATTGACAGAAATTTGAAAAAATTATAAATGCAATTTTTTTTAATGATTTTTTTGTTAAAAAAAATTAAAAAATGGTCGTAATTGCTAACTTTAATGTCATAAATTAATATAGCAGTTATTTAATAATTTTTTTAATAAATAAATTACGACAAAAAAGTTTTGACATGTAGAAATTTAAAAAAATAAAAAATGCAATTTTTTTGAACAAATTGGCTTGTTAAAAAAAATTAAAAAATCGTTTACAGCTAAATTAAATATTATAAAAAAATTAGTCAGTAAACTTGAGTGTTATTTATTGTTTTTAAACAATACAATACTTAAAATATCTTCAAACTTAACCTTAGAAAAAAAACAAAGTTTAAAAGAAGTAAACTCTCTTATCACAGACTTAAGTCTACTTATATTAAATCGTACAAAAATATATGACATGCTTTTTTTAATTAATAAAAAAATGGTAAGTTTGATTAATTAGTCTTGACAAGACAAACTTCAGTTTTAACCCCAAGCTCCATTAAATTCTTAATCCACAATTTTTGTTTTACAGACAATGAATCTCCAGGTCCCTTGACTTCAACAACCCTGCACCTTTTCTTCCTGGAGTTCCAAACGATTAAATCAGGAAAGCCTGCGCTCCACTGGCAGTAATTCTTCGCCATCAACTTACAAATCCCAACTACCGCTTTGACTCCTAGACATCTTACAATGTCCTTAAAATCCTGGCCATCTTCAACCAAGTTATTGCTCATGAGTGAAAAATATTCCCGGTAAGTGATAAAATTTTCATACATAATCTCGCTGAGACTATCAGCATCCAGCTCTTCGTAGTAGCTGAACTTTTGATCAATAGCTTCGCGGCGGTTGGGGTAAAATTGGGAGCCAAACAAATCCAGCGGAGCAGTCTGGTAGGGACAGACGAAAGCTCCGGGGACAGAAATTCCGTAAATTTCATCCCAAAGCAGAGCAGCGAATAAAGTAACAGGTAACTTTCCCTCGCAGTGAACACCGCAGTTGTAGCCATTAGCCTTGTAGTGTTTCATCGCGACCATCTCGACGCTCATGAGCTCGGTGGAGGCTTCATTCTTGACCCGCCAGACGCTTTTTGTCCCGGTGGTGAACTCATGGTCCATCCTAGTGCCAGAGACTGTAAGCCCGGGTTATAAAGATTATACATAATTATATATGAAAAGTGGCTCTATATAATGATATTTATGAAGATATAAGCTCATCTCGACATTATACTCATCGAGACCTTTCATTTGAGTACCCACATCAATTTTTCATACATTTCATATAATATACATATATATAATATATATAAATATATGAAATGTATGAAAAATTGATGTGGGTACTCAAATGAAAGGTCTCGA